CGCCCCCCCCCCCCCCCCCCCCCCCCCCCCGGCGATTATGCGCAAAACTGACGCCACAGCTGAAATCTGGCCTCTGATTGGCTAGCCACACCTTAGCGTACGTTTGATGAATTTTTTATAAACCGAGGGCCCTCCTTTAAAAGGGATTGTAAAATCCCGACTTTTAAGCAGGCTTAAGTAAGGTTTATATTATTATTTTATATTATTCCTGTTTTTATCTCCGTTTTTTTTAAAATTTAATCGTTTATTTATTTTTTTTTTTCTTTTTTTTTTTTTTTTTCCTTTTTAAAGTTATATGCCGTTATTATTAAATTAAACGAAAAAAAACGTTTAATTTATTAACGTAAATTTTATATTTTTTTTCGTTCGGTTTAATATTAACGGTATAATGTTTTAATTATTTTAAGCTTTTTTAAGTTTTTTTTTATTTAAAAAATTTAAAAAAAAAATATATAAAATTTAAACTTAATTTTTTAACCGTATTATATAATATGTTTATATAATGTATATATATTAATTACGTTATATATATTTTTTTATTATTTAAATTAAGTTAATTTTTTTTTAAATTAAATTATTTTTAATTTAATTTAATAATATTTATAATAAATACGTAAATATTTTATTTTTTTTAATTAATTAAAAAGTTTATAATTTATTTATAATTATATTTTTTATATAAATAATTTTAATTTTAAAATTATATAATTTATAAAATATAAAAATATTTATAAAAAATATTACGTATTTTTTTTTAAATAAAAATTATTTAATTTTATTATAATATAATAATAAAAAAACCGATTTAAATATAATTTATATTATTATTTTTATATTAATTAAAATTATTAAATAATATTAATTATAATGTTTTAATTATTATTATTATAAAATTATTTAAATATATATAAAAATATAAATATATTAAATTTAAATTATATAATTTTAATTTATTAAATTTTTAATTTTATATTAATGTTAATTTTTTAATTAATAAAAAGTTTAAATTTAAATGTATATAAATAAATTATTTAATTAAAAAAAAAGTTTTAATTTAATATAATATTTTTTTTAAAAGTCGGGTAAAATTAATTAATTTATTTTAATATAATGTAAAAGTTTTAATAATTAATATCGTTAAATAAAACTCGTTTTATATGATTTTTTTATATTATTTACACCTTTTATAAACGTTATGCAATAAAATGGCAAAAGGAAAAATCGCAAACTGCGGGGCGATTTTAAGTATTTAATTGGTTGAAAAAATTGTGGCAGTATTAATTAAATATATAAGACTTGATTAATACTTCTTAAGTCTCGTAGGCGATTTAAAGTTGTGCAAAGTGAGCATTAATAAAAATGAAGACTATATGGCATGTTCACCTGTGCCATTTTACACGATTCAAGATTGCTTCGGCTTAACGTTAAAGGTTAAATATTTGCGACCATCTAGTTGGAGTTGGCATAAGTTGTGAATCTGCTAAACAACTTATCATATAGCATATCAATTGGTCGGTGTTGTTATTCATCATCGTTGCGGTAGCGCAGAAGAAAGCATCGGATAACAACAAGGAGTCGAGGTATCGGTTCGAGTTTCCTGGCGTATATATCCCGAAGAAATATGGCATCATCCCTGGTATTCTGTAGGTGAAAGTCAAACCACCATCCCGCTTGGAATACTAAGTTGTAAAGGCGGTATTGGATGTTGTGAATATTGTAACGTGGAAACTAGTGACTAGCAGTCGATGACAACCTTAGGAAAGGCAGTACGGCAATGGGACATAATTCAAGATTCGGATATACATTATTTATTGAGCTATGTTGGCCTATCTTTCGGTATTAGATCACGTCGCACATGGAGACCGAGAGAAGCAAATGGTAGTTCAAATTTCACCTATTTAAACGACCGAACTATTACATCGTGGAATACCACATATATGTAAATGGCAAGAAAGTGTTAAATATATTGCTAACCTTTCCGGATAGCGGATGTAAAGTAGCTACGAAGGCTGAGGGCTAAGTTGATACAGTATCAAAGTGTCTCGTGCATATGCCAACTCCAAAGTCTTACTCTGGACCCTTTAGGCGTCGACCCAGTTATGTACCTAGGTTATCGTATCTCTGAGCGTGAAGCATTACTACGCGGCATGGGCTTTCCATTTCGCCATACTCTCCGATCCAAACTCGGCGATTAATACGGCGTGTCCAAACTCGTCAACTTCTGAAGGGGACGCCTCCTTATATAACACGTCAGCGCGTAGGCCCGGGATGAACAAGGGCCCCGAACCGCTCATAACCAGTTTACACCAGTCGTACTGGTCAGGGGCATCCCAGACGCCGGCGCGAGGCGTCCAATTAACGCTACCGGGGCAGTGAGACCACCCTGTTTTGAAGAGCAGGTATATAGACTGCGTAATAGTTACTATAATCCAAGCGCGGCGGATGCTCTCTGATAATATCCAGCGTCGCCAGGCTGTTGTCTCATCTGTTGGGGCTGCAGTTGGTGTGCCCTCGCTGCTGCCCACATCCTGTTCGAGAGCGAGCATTGTTGAGTACAGACTAGCATCCAGCTCTGCGCTATCCCACATCTCTGCTACCCAGGAGGTAAGCGTCGATATGCGACTTTCGGCCTCGACCCGCAACTCAATATCGCCATCGAACAGGCCAATCATCTGATAAACGAAAAGCGCGTGCACGCGGGCTAGGTGATCAAATGGATCCAGGGGCATAGATCCGCCCGTTGGCTGAGCTTCCTCGACAAGTCCTTCGGCTCGATCTCGAATTATTTGGAAGCAGATCTCTGAGCTCTCGGGAGTACGTGCGAGATAAGCCGTCAAAGCCGTATAGGCGTCTTGGACACAGCGAGGCATTTTTGGGCTGTACAAGCGGTGGTGGATAAATGGCGACCTGCCCGTTGCTACCCAGAGACGCAGCCATGATTGGACGGTGGTGATATACTGTTTCAAGGCTCTGACATCAAAAGCTTCGGTAGGAAACGAGGGGGTGTTGCTGCGTGAAATTGTCCACGAGTCGGACCTGTAGAACCAATCGTGCCCCAGCGGAAGAGTCTTCGTATTCTCCGGGAACCCTGCGCAACACGGATGGAACGGATCCCCAGGTTGCGCCTCGCTCGTTTTAGGGTAGGAGGGTTCAAATGAGACTACGTGAATCGGCAGTGCCGCTCCGGTGCGGGTAAGGCTTGCTTCTGTTGCTGCTGACCCGCTGTCCGTCTCTGCGTAGTCTCGAGCCGTCAGGTAAGGTGGTGGATATCTACACGGGATGTTTCTCCGTTCGCAACGGTCGCAACGGGGTAGCCGCTTAGAACACGGCCTTTTCGCTCTGGTACAAGCGGCACAAGCTTTAAACCGCGGGTTTCTTGCCGACGACATGATATATTCGGCCTTCTCTATATTCCTAATTCTCCCGTGGACGGATGAAAACTCGACGGGTAATTTTCCACAACGGTTGATGTTAGCATATAGAAACCCGTTCTTGAGCAGAATATTTACCGTAAGAACAGTTTGTAATCGTTACCTGGTCATCGATCCTACAGATTAGTCAGCATTATCTGGGTTCTCATTGCTTCTTACTAGTATAGTTGGTAGAGGCTTGCGGACGGCCTTTTTACCGCCATCATCCCATAGGGGAACCCGCCTGCCGCATCAATGGAAAAGCAGAGCTATAACGCATGGCATATATAGACAGACACCTTAATTACATACGCCAGAAGGCCGATATATAAATGGGCATAATAACCCTGTCTTAGATGTTAGCGTTCTAGACACAAAGATGGCATCTGAGTCTATAATCGTAAAACTAAGCAATTAGACGATATAAATTTTAAAAAATATCTTTTTTTGTGGTGGACAAGGACTTCTCTTACTTCCCTCCTCAAGAAAACCCACAAAGGGTCTTACCCAGCCATTTCGCCATCCCGACCAGAGTTCTCTCAGGCCGGAAGAACGGTGCTCATTAATGGTGACTTCGTAATAATATTATATAGGCTACTCCGCCAGAGTCGAGTTTTTAACTATCCGAGAATGCTTTCTGCATGAATGCCCACCGACGCTACCAATTCTAGTAGTTGCACCTAACTAGCCGGACCTTTCTATGACCACCTCGAAGATAGCCCAAACATCTTAGTTATCTTCGAGCTTGTCCTTCCTTTCCTCTACTACGTCGCCGTTGCTAGCAGTACCGGCTAGGCCGTGAAGCATCGCGGTCAGTCCGATTTCTCTGTTGATTTCCTCTATGCGTTCAAAATCAGCCTGCGCTGTGCCTTCGGAACCGAATACAACGTCCTAATATGAGTGGATCCTGTTAGAATATACTACAATAAAACCAGGGCTCTCGGTAGCTCCGCAGATACTCACCATCTCTTCAAGGGTCAGTCGTTTAGTCTCGGGCACGAAGAACCAGATAAACCCGGCTCCCATAAATGTTAAAAGGCCAAACAGGACGTAGGTACCGTAGCCGATCCTGTTAAGCATGATTGGCGTGACCTGACCGACAACTGGAGGACGGGTTAGCATCGAAAGTATGGGAATGAGCTGAAGGCCCTAGAAGACGCACTAAAATTGTTCATCCAGTTGCTCGAAGCGCCGAGGGAAGTTCCGTAGGGTCGAGAGCTGAGCGGCCAGATTTCAGCCACGATAATCCACGAGCAGGGACCCCAGGAGTAACCGAAATGGATTACAAAGAGCCAGACCATGGCAGCGGCAGCCCAACCAGCCGCAGGTTGGCTAGCCCACTGGTTCGCGTTCTTTGCGACGATCACGGCTATGATGATATGGCAGGTAGCCATCCCGATAGCGCCGATCGTTAGTACGGGCTTTCTCCCGATGCGATCAATATAGAGTACGGCAGGTACGGTGAATACAAACATGGCGATACCGACGACCCCGGTAGCCAGAAGACTCGTAGTGGTATTGCTCATGCCGAGGGAAGTGAATATACCTATAGTAGGACTTGTAAGAATGATTTTTATATCAACTATTAAAATTGAGGGAAATTGGGCAAACTGAAGAAACCAAAATAGAAATTCCATACTGGGTGCATAATACAGGACGGCGTTAATACCCGTCCACTGCTGGAAGAACATGGTGACGGTGGCAACGACAACACGCTTGATCATAGCTTTCGTCTGGAACAGAGACTTAATGGCTACAAATTGAAGCTTAAAGGTATTCCACGCTGTCAGCTCGCTCAGGTGGGGGAAGTGCTCAGCTACGGTTCGCTTTTCGAACTGTGACTGGGCTTTAATTTCGAGGAATTCAAGTTCGACGAGTTCGTGGTCGGCGGCTAGGCCACGCAGGTTGGCTAGGATTTTGCGTGCTTCGTCCTCGCGGCCGTGGTGAACTAGCCAACGCGGGGAGAAGGGCATGAAGATCATCCCTACGAAGAGGATTACCGCTGGGAAAAGCTGCAGGCAGATAGGCACGAGCCACGCAGCATCTTTCTGGAAGCCAAGAGTTGTGCCGCCAATATAGTTGGTACCGTAGTCTATCCAGAAGCTTACCATAATACCGAAGGTGATTGCGAGCTGCTGGAGGGCAACGAGCGCACCTCGAATCTCGGGGGGTGCGACCTCGGAGTTGTATATGGGCACGATCGTAGCCAAGGAACCGACGCCCATACCCGTAACGAAGCGGCCTCCGAGAATAACGTTAGGCCCACCGGACTGCGCTGTCGCCTGGATGACGACCCCGATGACGAAGACTGTTACCGCCACCAGGATGCCATATTTTCGGGAGATGGCCTCGGCGATGAACCCGGATAGCAGTGCGCCAATCCAGGCTCCAAGCTCGAGGATAGCTGTAAGCCACCCCTTCTTCGTCTGGTCCGCCGAGTCGTCAAACGGGTCATACTCGCCCATATCTATAGTTGCTCTATCAGCATACGGCCGCCGCCAGCGAACCAGATAATAACCTGAATTTTTGATTAATGCTTACGAGACTTGAAGGCGGGCATGGCGAGGAGGCCCGAGAACATGCCCTGGTTGTAACCGTACAGGATACCGCCGATACAAGCGAACAAGGCGATCCTAAACACCTTGAAGTTCTTTACCAGGGCCATGGGACCGGACGCGCCCATCATCTCCTGGCGGCGTTTGAGAGCCGCATTGTACGCGGCGGCGCCCGAGTCGCCTCCAGCTACCATTGTGACCGAATACGAATGTTTCTAAAGGGCACTATTATTGCATAGGTCGACCTCGATTCCTTGGATGAAAATTACCGTACAGAGAAGAAGTCTCGAGATCGAAGTAGCAATCCAGCCCACCAGCACACGGGTTAGACGATAGCGGTGCATCGGCGGTGTCTGGGGGACGTCCCGATATAAATAATGCCATGGACACACACCGGTAAATGGAACAGGGGATAGGCTAGGCTATTCTACATACTCCGGAAAACCGACGTGTGGGAAGGCTACTGCGTAATAGCATCTGACCCACATGCTAGAGAGATCCAGAGTAAAGACTCTGGGGACCCCATATCAAGATATTACCGGGATGCGGGATAAATAGGTAAGCTTGGGGTACCGAGCTACGGCCGAGACCCTGGTTGATTGGTGAGAGCAACTCCCGGTTATACCATTGCGTGTTTCCCGGATGATGACTTGTAGGTAGCTAACGGAGTTCTCTTTGTCGTTAACGAGTTACGAGATGGCAGGTTGAATGGGTTGCGAGATATTCACTATGATACCGTCTTGCTCGAGTTGATGGACGCGCTTATTTGAAGCTTCTCTTCCGCGACTTGGATACGAGGTCACGACCTTCAAAAATTCTTGGAGAAGACGGCTCCCCAGTGTGGGGTATCTCGGGGTAATACATATTGCCAACAAGTCTGGCTAGAGCTATTCTCCATCGAATTGAAGATCCCCAGGTTGACCGGGGTTGTGAATTTAGCCTGAATTGCCCCGGTTAGAGGGCTGTCTGGGATTGGAGAATCACACGTGAGGTCGATCGATGAGCATTTCAGCTGGCATATCTCGGACAGCATCGCTTACTTAGTATCAATTTATTGGTCTAAGTCCAGGATGATTATTGATACCCTACGTAAGAGAGATCCGGCTGGAACTTGAAGCAATGCGGAGTAATCTAACTAATATCTTCATCAAATATAATACCAGATAGTAGTCTCGCAATAGAGTGCAGCTTGAGGGTTAGCGTACCGGCGCTTATATCTAACTTCGAGATTTGTTTCTCCCGTTGCGGGACGAAATCGACTCCTTAGTGATGTGGTTTCGTCCTGGGATTTATAGATGGTCCCTTATAGTTCCGCGTTCTAATATGGTAAATCCATCTCCGCGAATTCTGGTAAATTTAAGAGACGGCCTAGGTGACCGCAGTTGGTCAAGTTATTGGATATGCGTCGAGACATGATATGTATTATGACGTTGGTTACTTTCTGAGTACGCTTCACTATGGTCGTCGTTGGGTAAAAATGTAGGGTATATACTAACTCATAACTAGGTTAATAGGCAACGCTTAACGGTTGGACGTGAGCATAAGTTGATGTTATTGCGATGTGATAATATCCGCCATCAGCCCGTAACCAAAACTTCGGTTGAGTTGGTAGCTTCCATACGGGCTATATGTATGGAATATGGTATTGCAGACTGATAGCTACGCCCAGCTTTGCTCGAGTCGGGCCTCAACATTAACCCTTGATATATCACAAGATGGCCTTCGTATCGGCCAAGACGTCTCGACTCTCGGCCCGGAGAGTACCAGATCAAGACAATAGACACGATCCGACCTGCCGCGGAAGACCGTCACTTCGGGATAACTTAGGAACGTCTCCTGGTAAGGCTGTATGCAGACGAGGCGCTTGTCGAGCGGCACTCTTCGGAAGGATGTACCGCCGTCTCAGCAGTCGTGCTCAGACATCCAATCATTGCTAGGTCTGCGCCTAACGTCTCTCCCGCACTCATGGTGTCGTAGATTCTCAAGGCCGGTAGGTAGGTCTCTGCTACCATGTGCGCATCTGCCCCTCTACGTGCCGTTAACTCGAAGGTGGCCGATGTGTCCCGGTCTGCCCGGTGTAGGTAGCTGAGTTATCACGCTCTCTGAAACGCGTGGCGGGAAGGATTCAGGAGCTAAGTGGGAGACATGATAGCCGCCTCGAAATGGACCTCCTATGGTAGCATATAGCCATGTCGTTTATCAGCTGCAACTAGCGGTTCGCCCCCATCAAATCCCCTCAGGGAAAATGCTGCAGGAAGACGAAGAGCCCACGTAACATAAACAGATCTAGCTAGGGTAAGACTGACAAAGGGAAAAAAAAGGGGGCATCATCCGTAACCCCCAAGATTAATAATTAACTTATCTGGGTACCTAGGTAGTTAAACTAAGACAGGGCCGTCGCATTGCATCAGAAACCGCCGCTACAGTTCCGAGGCACAGCGAAAAATTATTCGAGGGAGTGTTGCTACCGGCTTCATACGCGCAAACATTTCTTTAGTTCGTGCACTGGTTATTTTGATGTCGTAGCGAAGATGTTTACCGTCTGCAAGTCTACATTACATTCTAAGCGCGAGTGGGAGAGGAAAAAAGTGGTTTGTCTATTTTAAAAAGGTCTGACGAATAAGAGAAGATTGACCCTGGACGGCCAAGAAAATACACGTGATATTCCCGCCGTGGTGGATGCGAATAGATGCAAAGTACCGCCGATAGCGTAGCACCGACAAAAATAATGATATGCGAAGTCTGCATTTGTCTTGCATTTTTCTGCATCTGTCGTCGGCAAAAAGCTGGGTAGAATACAGATGTACGTATGGATCTAGAGAGGCTAAGCTTGATTAGGCATAGTTACCTGTCTATTTGTCTTTCTTTACATAAGTACCTATGTTTTGTCGCCCGGGTACGACGATCGTTGTTTATTTTAGCGTCAAATCTTAGACGCGCGCCTCCATCTTTTTTCCCACCCTTCTCTTTTTTCAGGGGTCGTCTTTACCCTTCTCTCAACTCCCTTCCTCTCGTCCAATGCCACCTCTCCATCTTCATCAAAACAGCGGCTCTTCTTGTTTCAAAACGTTACTTATTACTATATATTTACAACGTGTGAACCTGGTTGAGATTGCTAAGATTGTTGAGATTTGCATGTCTACGATGTTGGTACAACTATATTTCGACCTTTCATCGGTCTTGTCACCTTGTCCAAAAAGGGCGAGTCGAACCATATCGACAGCTGCATGTCCGCATGGGTATGCGTCTATTCGTGGGGGCCGTGCTTCATCTACTAGTCCCCTCGTCTTATTATGATGGCATATGGAATCGTAATGTCTCCATATGCAAGGTACCCTTCCGCTTGGCTTTGCCGCCGTGCATCTTGAGCTGCTTCGAGTGATACTACAAACCAGCAAGAGGGTAACGTATCAATTCTGACGGTTCGTCCCGCTTCCCGGTGTAGATGTTTACGTACTCTCATCTTTTTAGCGAGATAATTTAGGTCTTAGCCGTTACGTGTAAGTGGTAGTAGAGGGGGTTGTATTCGTATTGTACAGGGTATCTTATGTTACTCGATTAGTCTTCCTCGAGGCGCAAGACATTCATCTCAAGGAGATAATAACAAACGGTATGAAGTTGTGGGCAGAGTGTTAGCAAGCTAGACATAATGATGGTTAATAGTGTCGATACTGATCTAATCCACCCACGTTGCTTCTTTTTTTTTTTCCCTCTCTTTTTCTTCCCTTATGTCCTCTTCGACGTCGTCCGCCGCGTAGTCGCAATAGGGCACGCGCGCGCGCATAATATCTAACCTAGTCACTAGTCATGTACGTAACTAGGAATACTCGAACGCTTAGACTCTAGAGCTACCCTATAAGGCTGGCGGCTACTGATACTATCCGCTCTCTTTGCTATTTTTCGACCGGAATTCCGGCCCATCTCCATCTCGGTATAGTGTAGGTGCTTGCAGATACGTGCAGATATGTGCCCCCAAAACCCCCTTGGATGTACCATTATACAGTATACCCATTAGCCGCCCTCCACACCAGGCCACTTTTCCGTAGCCGCCCAACTCCAGACAGACGCCATCCCGAAGCTCGTCAGCCAATATCAACGGCCTACATAGAGCCTATCCACTCTTTCAGATACACAACCCAGGTTTCATGACTACGGCTTGCATGTCCGCCCCCCCAAGCTGACAATCGCTCCAGATCTGCCTCTGTCGCCATGACAGTTTTGTTTCAGATCCGCAGTCCTGGGTCTCGCGTTGCAGTAGCAGGGCAAGCACTTGTCATTCTACCCATCTCTATCTATCCCTCGTCTAGTTGGAACCGAGTCGTCCGAGGCGGCCGTTACCCTTATAAGTAGCGGCGCCCATTTCGCGACCTGGTCTCGTTTATTGCCTTCCCTTCCCGGACCCTCTCGCTACAGCATCAAACGGCCGATTTCTTTTCCGTCTTCTCTTAACTAAAAGCTGTTCTCGTTTTGTTTCCTTGTTCTATCTTCCCTCGACAGCCTCGTTCGTTTCATCATCATTCGTTTGATACGAGTCATCGACCTAGCTGCCTCAAATTTTTGTCATTGCCTTTCCTGGTAACTACCTCTCCTCCCGGCGAGGCTGAAAGATAAGAAAAAGGTTTACCTATCCAAACGCTTCTCCGAGAAGACGTGGGGAATCAACCCAGATATCGATAATTCTAATAATCCTACCCGTCTATTCGGAACTGATACCTTTCCTTTGCCTGGTAATCCTGCTTCTCTACATTTTACATTTTGGTTTTTATATGTAATCTCCCCGTTACGCCTACCACCAATGAATATGCCGAAGCACACCCGCTCGTCCAGCTCGAGCCATAACCGCTACTCGAACCCGAACGCCATGCCCGTATCCCTCGCCCCGTCGGCTCCGGTCCCCATCTACAGCACACGACCGTCTCTTCCCTTAAACACGGGAGGATATTACCCTAATATCGCCTCGACGTCGGCGCAGCCCCCCATGCAGGCTCAGCCGTACGATGGCTACCCGGCAGACGTAGTGACTCAGGCCCCGATGCCTAATCGTCCTTCTTCCGGAGCCTGGACTGTCCAGGATGATCAGAACTTGTTGGCGGCAAGGCAACAGGGCCTCAACTGGGCTCAGATCCAAAGCAGCTACTTTCCGAACAAGTCGCCTAACGCCTGCCGGAAGCGCCACGAGCGGTTGATGGAACGAAAGGGCGCCGATGACTGGGACAACAGGAAGCTGGAGCGTCTGGCCAAAGAGTATATGAGCATGCGCAAAGAAATCTGGCAGCCGCTCGCAGCGCGCACGGGAGAGAAGTGGCTTGTTGTCGAGGCCAAGGTTAGTTTATTTCCCCTTTTTCTTTTACGTGGATTTGCTGGGAATGTCGGCTAAGAAAATGGCACCCTTTGCTATAGTGCATGAATAACGGTCTGAAGAACTTGCAGTCGGCAGCTCGGTCAGCAGCGCGACGGGAGAGGCTGGAATCTGGCCATCCAATGCATGGGTATGACGACGATAGCGGCATTTCAGGCATTGGTCTGACTCCAGTAGATGACCTCGACGCCTCTTACAGCAGCCCCGAGACGACAGCGTCTAGCTCGCACTCGGGCGGCAGTAACGGTGGCGGTTACGGCGGCGCCATGCATCCCATGGCTCTCAGCAGCAACCCGTACGGCGCCAATTACACGACTAGCGCCGGCGGGCTCTCCTCCAGCTACGGCTCTTCCGTCTCCTCTACGGCCGCTGCCGCTCATTATGGCAACGCGATGCACGGCTCTCATTCTCAGGGAGGCTCTCCTTATATGGGCGATGGGCAGAGGCTCCCTAGCGTCGACATGGGTATCGACGCCATAATTAATCGACCGGGTCACAACGGCGGTCATGCTCACGGCATGTGAATAAGACATAATCTGGCGTCACCGGGGTCGATGTTCATAATTTCGCATTCAGCTTTCCGCTCGTTATCTACTTTCTACCTTGGAGCGCATTCATTTTCATGACCCCGTCGTAACGGTTTCCCAACTTACAAAATCTGGACTTGCGACTTTCTAACGGATCGGGCGCGGCCAATGTTGCTCATTGTCAACCGCACTACTTATTATTTACTTTTACTTTCCTTTTCTTTTAACTGACTGCAGCATTGCTGCCTAGGCGTTCACGGCGTAAGCATTGCATGGCGAGTCTTGGGAATATAAAGGAGGGTGGGAAGGCGAGGGAACTGCCGGCGAGCAGCTCGTCGTTGCGAGGAAGATGCTGGGCGGTATGGGGTTACAGAGAGTACAGCGGATGAAGATTGGACCGCTAAAAGAACGAGTCTACGCTCCTTTATAATTGTTCGGGGGGGATCTTGTCGTGATATCGACTATGGCAACCCTCCTTTATTCGTCGCGGATCAAAACTAGGGGATTGGGGTTGCTGGGCCCGAGGTATTTGTCTACCAGCTAATGACTGCATTTCTGCGCCGGAAAACTTATGACTATCCAATGCACTGTATACTAGATCTTTATTGCATAGATACCACAGGATTAAGGGTGATGATTTCTTGGTTGAGCTCATAAGGGGTTCCTAGGTATGGCCAGACATAAGAGTATTAATCATTAGATCGTTCAGCTACGTGAGAATCGTAGGAATTGCGATAGTGCGCCCGTTCCTTAGTTCGAGTGATTATCCTGATCTCGTGTCGATTGCACGCATCTAAACAATGCAATATGCTTAACCAGGTGTCGTTTTAAAACCCCTCTTATACATTCGACAAGATATGTTACATATTAATTTTTGGTTCGTTCTAGGCCGCCGTCTCGAGTAGCTTCGCAGAAGCCGGACTCGGATGTTACCTCACTTAGACCCAATAGGAGGCGCTACTTTTTGGGCCTCACCATCAGCGGCCTCAGCTTCTTGGTTGATTTGGTCTACGACCCAGTCCTCGTACTCGTCCTCGAGATCTGGCTCTCCAACGATGCTTCTCCAAACTCGCCCCCACATCCCCTTCTTCTGAACGAGAGCGAGTACCATGATGACTGGTAAGGCCCAAACGCTAGCCCAAAATAACCCCCGCGCGCTCCCCTTGAAGCCTTCCTGTTGCCAGAACCGCACCGCTTCTCGCGCCAGCCAGAAATTGACCGGTAGGCTTGTCACCGCGAAGCTCCACTCTGTTACTCCTGCGGCGCAGAGCCCGATAGACAGCGGGATGAATAACAAGCTATACCTTAGCGCCACACGTCCGTTGCGAGCAGGGTTGATCCAGCACAGCATCTTGTGGCCGGCCGCTTTGTATTCTTCTCTTATAGGCCACGACAGAGCCATGAAGTGAGGAAATTGCCAAGCAAACAGGAGCGCGGCAAACAGCCACCCGCCGATCGCATCCCTCGTAAAGAGAAGTTCGCGAAATGATCCGTCTCCCGTCGCGGATTCACCAGCTGCCGCAGCCCAACCCATAAGCGGCGGTATGCCTCCGACGACCGCCCCAACCCAAGTGTTCAGCCATGAGACGCGTTTCATTGGCGTGTAAACTCCGGCGTAGAGCGCGATATTAGCAGCACCGAGGAAGGCGACTGTGGGATTTACGCCGAAGTAAAGGCTACCGACTCCGGCAACGGCGGCGAGCACGGCGAAGACGAGAGCCCTGCGTTCGGATAAGAGGCCGCGAACGAGGGGTCTGTTTCGTGTGCGCGTCATCTTGGCATCCCAAGCTGGTTCGTAGAGCATGTTGAGAGCATTTGCGCTGGCGATGCAGAGCGCGGTGCCGGTCGTAAGAAAGGTCAGGGTTAAGGGCGAGAGGGAGGGCGTGTCTAGACCGATAGACGGAGAGAGAAAGGCCGGTACGGGGTATAGCGCATAGGGAGCCATAGCTGTGAGAACGACTAGGACGGTAAGACGAGGTTTCGACAGGGAAAGGAGAAGGGACAACTGTCGACGGAAAGAATTGGCGGGATGCTTCGTAGACTCCGTCGTGAGTGCGGATGAGGCATCTTGCGGAAGAGGACCTTCAGTATCAGTTGGTGGGGCTGAACCAGGTATATTGGCAGCATGGCGCTTTGCTGCTTGACGTCGCCGGTGAGGGAGATGTTGGTTTACTTGGCCCGTGGTGGTAGCTTTGCTGGCTTCGTCGGGGGCGTTTGAGGCCTCAAACGACTGGGGAGTTGAACCATCATGGGGTCGAGGTAGAATCTTGTTAGATAAAAAGTACCCGGCCTTCAGTCGAGATTGTTGCTTCGGTGCTACGGGAGCGGCGTGGGCGAAGGTCCTTGTAAATTGCAAATTCCTATAGCTTAGCTGTTGACTGCACCGCCAGCAGACATTACCGAGAGTGGAAGGACGGAGTAGATATCCGGGAGGCCGAAGGCGCATACTGACTGCAGCTCATGTCGTCAATTGCGTTGGTCAAGGGACAAAGCTAGGCGCATGGGTCTCGAACGTACCGGTATGGAGGTTCAACGCCGGATTGTCCAAGATGTGGGATCGTGGGATGGAACGATTTGATCGATTCGATATGAGAAAATGAAAGTTCGGCTCATCCGTTTTCCCGCTATACCGATTAACCTAGAGGGGCCGTTCTACATGGGGGCATACACAAGGTAAGTGCTTATCCGATAGCGTGTAAACCTCGATATAAATATCGACACTTACGGTCCACTTAGTTTAGGTACCTGTTACGTAGGTATACAGTGCCTCGAACTTGTATAAGACAGACGACTAAAAACTAAATGGACATAAATACGTGAATTTAATTACGTGTCTAATAGGGTATCTATTTACACCCATTCATGACATGTTAAAAATATATACTCGTATTCAAATATTCGCCATTATACATATAGGTACTTAAGGTATAGCTACAATAAAAACGCACGTTACTGGCATTGATCAGCCCTATTTCTCATGACCCGAGGCATTCCTACTACTATCTAGGCTCTGACGATTACCTACCAGGCCCTTAGATGATATAGGCTCGTCGGTAGCCACCAACTTTTCATCCGTCTCTTCTATCTCCTCTTCTAGCGCGAGGTTGAGGATGATGCAGACGAACGCGGTAACGGCAAACCCCGTCTCCATAATCAACACGATGGCATCTAGGAATCCCTGGAGACTTCTATTGTCACCGCTGTAGCTGAAGACGTTCTCAAAATAAGTCGGGACCAAAGTCGCTATTTTGTATACGTTAGCATACTCCATGAACATACTCTATAAATATTCTCCATAGAGAGGGCTGAAGGGAGATTAAGGGGTAAGAGGAACAAAACCAACCTCCATATCCTATCGACAATCCGGCAGTCAGAATGAATCGATTTCGGCGAGTAAACGGAACTCCCCTCGCTATGATTGCTATGCCCGATACGGCCACTGAACAGAACAGAAACGTAGTCATACCCCCGAGAACGGGAGAAGGGATAGCGACGAGAGCGGCGGCAAATTTCGCAAAAATGCCCATTATTATAAGTAAGAAGCTTTCCCCGCCCAACCATTAGTATCAAGACTGATAAAAAAGAGATATATATAAAAAAAAGGTAACACTAAAAACCGAAATTAAAGACGTACCAGCAGCAGTATCCAGCAGTCCGGTTCGCGCAGCGCGTAAGAGCGATGACTCCGTTATTTTGGGCAAAGGTAGACATGGGCGTAATCGACATAAGAGCAGCGAGAATGCCGTTCAGGCCGTCTGCTAGCACACCACCCTGGATACGGGATTCGTACATCCTTCCTTCTACTTCGAGGCGAGACACATCGCATGTGGCCGTAATGTCACCGATAGACTCGCACGCACAGATGATGAAAACTGCCAGCACAGGCAGGACTAGGGGTCCATACACGGTAAGCTTAAACGTGTGAACCCATACAAAGGAGGCGACTGGGGCGGCATCTATTCCCGAACGGTCAAAGTAGCCCGTCGCAGCGGCGATAATGCAGCCGACGAGGAGACCGATTATGACGCTCGTAGACTTCATGATCGGAGCTCCGAAGCGTTCGCAGAGAATTACTGTCAGAAAGACGGAGAAACCGAGACCTAGTAGTTGGACATATTAATACTAATAATTCTCTTTATGCTGATGAAAATAGTAGCCTACCAAGATACTCTGGCGACCCCCATGGCAAGGCGTGAGGGGCGCCTACATTCGGACAGACGTCGAAGAACGCCGTGTGCGTGGCGTCCGCGCAGGGTCCGCTGCCTCCGGCCCAGTTCTTAAAACCGGTTTCGATGAGGTTGATTCCAATTAGCTTTATAGAAAATTAGCGAGATACTCAACCCGTAAAACGCGGTAAGGCTTACCATCACCGTCGGACCGGTAACGATAGGAGGAAAAATTCTCAACATGATGCTAGGCGGTATAAAAGCGATGAGCACTTCGATGAGGGCGCACACCGCCGCGGTCCCGAGAAGCGCGCCGTAAGCATCGGGGCATGGAAGCTTCGTGCCGTCCGCATCAGTCGGACAGAAACCATTGGCGTACATTTGCGCAAACGCCCCTTGGGCGACGGGGATGATGGAAAATGAGATACCGACAACGGAGATAAGTCCTGTTCCGATATAATATCTATATGCGCTAGTAAGTCTCATATTTTCGTGAGTGTGGAAGAGAATTATGTCGCGATAACGAATGCAACACTAGGGGAAAACAGGGTTACCCACGGCGTCTTGTAGATGTGAAACCTAGTGATCTGAATCATGGAGAGTATACCAGACACGATCAGTGCCGTGGAAACTAGATACTGCTGCATATCGACAGGGAAGTTAACACCAGTCGATCCCGACATGAGAATGGGAGGTGTGATAATTCCAGCCAACATCGCTAGAGCATGCTGGAGGCCAAGGACAAGTGCCAAAACGACCGGCATCTTATCGTTGAGGCCGAAGAAAGGTGAAGCTTGTCGGGACCTCTTCATAAAAGGTATATTTGGCCTAAGAAGAAAGGCATAATCGTAGTCACCCACAAGCCCCTTTTTCGTAAAGAACGTCTTCTTAACCCCATTAAGTCGACTGCTCAAGGTCTTTTTTGGTTCGTGTTGAGGTACGATTTGGGATGGACCCTGATCCTCGTCCATTTTGCACGAGAGGGGCGACTGTGAATTGAGGACGCGAGTAGGGAGGAAATCCTAAGAATAAAACTCGAGAAGTGATACGTATACCAAAGATAGGTAAAGTAGATACCAAGATATTGCCTAAGTAAGGTAAGTAGTCAAGATATACAGACCGTATTCGAGTCTCATTATTATATCACCGGTGTAATCGGAGGTCGTGGTCGGTGAACTTATTATTTCGGACGATACTACGTTCGGAGGCTCGGATGCGCAGACGAGATGGTATGTCGAGCAAAGTCTGACAGCGCAAAGGCCTTATACGCATACGTTATTAAATGCGAGATGAAAGCTTAGCAAGCACTTAAGCAATCTTGTCAACCTTGAAACTTATTAAGGTTACTGGAGGAGCAGGGCTGCTTTATTAGTAAACAGCAAGGATCGTCATGGAGGTGCCAAAATCTTTCCTATTTTATCTGGTTTACCACGCCGCGCGTATCTAGAGCTAACTCTAATCTCACGGTATGCGCCTGATAGCAAAAGAGTGTATTAGCGAGATGGTATCCGTAGCGGAGCTGACCGATAGTAACATCTGGCTAGTTGAGCTGTAGGCCGTCTACAACTCAAGGAATATGCCTTTTGAATCTCCATTTTATTTTTATTTTTTATTGTTTTGGTGTACCTAGCTGAAAACCAAACCCGAGACTTTGACGTTTCCGGGTGCATTGGAGGCGACAGGGCAGTTTGTCAGAGATATCAGTCAGTGGAACCCCATGCCTATAGGTAGGCCTATAGGTAGCTTACCTGGCAGCCCTGGCCTTGAGATTCTATCTTGCTCATCTCGGGTGTTATATCCGAATCAATTGGCCATTCACAATCCGGAATGAAAGAGCTGAATTGACGAAGCGAATCTCTAAACAACAAACGCTGACTGGTCATAGATAAGAAAGGAACAAAGTGGAGAGCCGCCCCCCATAAGCCCCCGTCGCCCCCCGGCTTGCACTAGTCGACTTTGGCTCTGCAGTATTCCGTATCTGATATACCTATCTGATAGAACAGTTGATAGAAAGCTGAATTACCTTATATGCATTATACATAAGACGGATGGTAATAACATATGATAATAACGCGCCTTAGTCTTTGTATCTAGATAAGGACTACCGTTAAGAATTGATATTAGTGTTGAGTCTAGCGTTGAGTGTGTCCCTCTATTATTACGCCCGCATGAGAGTTACAGGATAGTAGATACTCTGCTAGGAAGGCGGCTCTTTCTTCTAGCCCGGACGGTGAATCACCCGAGACACGCAGGATCCCCGCGAATAATGTTCCGGTGTGGGTGTCTCCGGCTTATAACGCCGTGCTCCGGACTCGTCGCCTTTCGCCGCTTTGCGGTCGAGTTCATTGACTTCGTTTAGTGAAAACGTTGCGTGCGAGAGCTACCTCTTACACACCCGCCTAGGCACCTACCTAGTCCCAGCTAGCTATCTCGACGTAGGAAATCTATAACTTCTTAATCTAGGCAGAGCTAGATATTATCTATAGGAAATGATACATTATTCAATACCTCTACATAGTCCCAGGCGATTTGAAGTATGTCGTCCCCAAGAGCGGCCGCAATCCTCTTGAGACCTAAGCTTAGACCATCGATCATAAAAATCCGGAAGAATAACCTTATTACCTTTTAGTAAATGTAATTGGCTCCTTGACGTAATTGCTTTCTCCTGCTTGCATTGGAATCAATTAGGGATCTGAAAGACGGGTATGTTGCATTAAAATACTATTGTAGCACTGTTATTCGTCTCCCTGGCACTATGTACAGAAATAGTTAGAGGTATGCCCTCGAAAATCAATAGGTGTACATGAACAATTCACAGAAGTAGTACAGTGTGAGACAATTAGTAGCTTCGGTAGAGGTATTGGATTACACTGACGACGGGTCTGTGTAAGACATAACTATCCGTGGTCGAGTCTTGGATAACTTTTGAGAACGGTGCGTGTCGATAATGAAAATGAAACACAACGTATACGTCGAGTCAAGCAAGTGGATGCAGAAGTAATTATCTCCTCTGTTTACCCCTTACACGATCAAGATTGCATAATATGGTTAGAACGCTTGCGATTTTATTATCAAGACTACTTCATAGTGCTCAAGTTACACTTCAAGTCTTTTCCTCGCTTATAATTCACTTCCGCGTCAGAGAATGCTCGTTCTACGACCGACCAAACGTGCAATGTAACCAGATCGCTGGAATACCGTTTGTCATATGTAATCACCCGTAGACCGTTTGCTTTAATTTTAACCTGGCAAGAGACATGTCTCACCTGGGCTAATTAATCATTTATGTGGCTTGGTATGTACGAAGATATCATATCTCAGCCTCCGAGTCAGTTGTTGCTCATGGCGACCTTTATCCTTTCCCAATACAGTAGAAGTCGCTTTGAATATAATGCTAACTATATCCAATCATTGTTTGGGTGCTCCTCGTGGTATTAGTTATAAAAAGCTAAGAGGTAGACGTCCCAAAAGCATCGTAGTCTAGCTTATCCTTTCTGCTGGTGATTTGTCTATCCACCAGAACGAGCGGCCACGGCCTTAGCTTGTCTCGAGTGTGATGCCCTTGTCACTTGAAAGAAATCATCTCCGCTGGGCACATAGCTCCTCGGAAGTGCTATGTCATCTGACGCAGGGGCCCGCTCCTAACTCTCTTCTCCAGGACTCGGAGGCGCCGCAGTTTGTTAACGGATGTCACGGCCCTTGCTATAATCGATTCGACAGTTGATCGTGATCTACACTCGTCGTCGATATGCCTTAAGAGCCAGTTTTACTTAAATATGTAGGTACCTGTCGTTAGATCCTTTGAGAATGCTACCAGCAGTCCATCTTTTCTACTGGATTTTCCCATACATCATGCGTAGCAATATGCCCTGCAGGTTAGCCATTACGTCCATGTCTCTCGGACGCTGTTGTGCGGGACATCCGCTCGCGCATAAGCTGGACATGGCTCGGCTGTACGGTTATAGAGGCATCGAGCTCTTCCACGAGGACCTACTACACCTAGCCCAACAACTACCGGGAGGATCGACAGCTGATAACGAGATCGAAGCAGCTCGAATAATCCGAAGACTCTGCCACGAGAGGGGACTCACAATAGTATGCTTACAGCCGTTCGCACACTACGAAGGACTGCTAGATCGCCGAGCGCACCTCAAACGCATGGAGCAGCTTACGTTTTGGTTTCAACTGGCAAGGGTCCTTGGTACAGATATCGTGCAGATCCCGTCCAACTTCCTGCCGTCGTCCGAACTTTCAGAAGATAGTCGCATTGCGGTCGCCGATCTTAGAAAAGTGGCTGACATGGGCCTCGCGCAGCAGCCACCGATACGCTTTGTGTATGAGGCGCTATGTTGGGGTACTCGCTGCGACCTTTGGGAGCAGAGCTGGGACATAGTACAGGCTGTAGACCGGCCCAACTTTGGTCTCTGCCTCGATACGTTCAATATTGCTGGCCGTATCTATGCCGATCCTTCTTCGCCGACAGGCCGCACTCCGAACTGCGACCAAGCTGTACGGGACTCCATAGCTCGACTCGTAACTACAGTGGATGTCAGCAAGGTTTTCTATGTTCAGGTGGTGGATGCTGCGCGGCTTGCCGAGCCTTTAGTAGAAGGCCACGAATTCTACAACGCGTCACAACCCGCACGGATGAGTTGGTCTCGAAACTGTAGGCTTTTCTATGGCGAAGAGGAGCGCGGTGCGTATCTTCCCGTTGCCCAGATATCGCGGGCCATATTCCAAGGACTCGGGTTTGAAGGTTGGGTAAGCATGGAGCTCTTTAATCAGAGGATGTCGGATATAGATGAAGTGGTGCCTCAGGAATTGGCAAGCCGGGGTGCTGCTGCTTGGGTGAAGCTAGTCAAGGATATGAAGTTGAGGGTTGACTTACCCGTTTCCGAAAGGGTTGCTGCGTCGCTATGACCGAAGGCTGGCCGAGTACCTATATTATATATTATTATTATATTATATTATAAAAATCCACGGGTCTCCTTTCAAGTAATGCTTAGGGAATATGATGGGGGAATAAGGGGGAATAGGGGGTAATCTGATGACAAGGAATCTAACTGGTCCTTATGTACCGGTCACTTACATCTTCTAGCGGGAGCTTACCTAACCTCATGCACTTAACTGTAAGTACCCCGCAGTATCTTACGGTGCTTAATTGCGGAGCTACTCCGCACACTTGGTTCGGGGTAATAAGGGGGGGGGCAATAAGGTCCCCAAGAACCAAAAGAGGTACTGTGAAGATTTATGTAAATGTATTCCGCGTATATCTATTTACATTAGGCAGCATTCGTACTTACATTAATTACTCAGAATTAAGGCTACCTGTTCATATTCCGTACGGCACATACGGTGTACATAACATCTTCTAATCTAAACCCTTGAATCGCAAAATCCCGTGGGCTCCGTGAGGTCCGAGGTCGACGTTCACCTTTCCCTTCCGCTTCTTTTTACTTCGTTTCGGTCCTTCATCGTCGCTATCTGAGTCGCTATCATCCGAGTCTCCGTTTGCATGGCGCTTAGCCCCGTTTCCGGTTACTGTGCTCTCATCCATGTCGTTGTCGTCGTCGTCGTCTGATTCGTCCGCATCACTACTCTCGTCGCTGTCATCGACGTTAAGCCTCAGCGAAGACGATTCCTGCCAAACTTTGATCGTTTGTCCTCCGCCACTAATCATACGGCCTTGGCAGTCAAACCCTAGACCGACAACCGCCTCGATGTCGTCGTGGCGCAAGTGAGTCTCGACCTCTCTTTTTGCCAAGTCGACGATGCGCAAGCTACCATCTCCTACGCCGACGGCCACCTTCTTTCCTCTCGCTACATACTCGGGAATCTGCACGATGCAGTCGAGACTCTCGCCACCTCCCTTTACGGGATCGACAACGATACGATCCTGCTGGTCGTCCCAAGCTCCTTTGTCCCATAGAGTAAGAACTCCGGTGCCAGTTCCCACTGCTACGACACCGTTATCGCGATTTTTCTTAGGTCCCATGCCCGGAATGAAGGCCGTACATAGAAGCTCATCCTCCTGGTCGTCGCTACGTACCAGAACGCCTCTTCGCAGGTCGGTGACGGCTAGTGTCGTCCCGCCGGTAGAAATCCATTGCTTGCTGTAGCCGCTCGTGCTTTCGGCGGACGGGGGAAGCGCGGTGATACTCGATACAAAGTCATCGTGAGGGAAATGCGTCTGTTGCGGCTTCGACGCCGCAAGCGCGCCGTCTCTTAGATCGAGAAGGTGGAGGGCGCCCGAGTCGCATGCAAGTAGGAGCGTTTGGGGCGAGAGAACGTGTAGTAGAGAGGGTGAGTCCGGGACCGATTTGGTAGATGGGATAGCGATCTTGGAAGCTACCTGGCCGGTCACGGGAGAAAAGTGTTTGAGTAGGTAATCAGTACCAGCTGAGTATAGAGCTATCCACCTTACATGTTAACTTGATATCATCAGGTGTAGCACAGAATCTAACCGACTAACCTGAGCCATCGTTACTGAATGCCAGTGTACGGCAGCTACCCTTGTGCCTTTTGGTCCTCCATACGGTCTCGATGGTACCTTTACCGTCTGACAGGACACTCACGTCAGCATCGTCCTCGGTCGATCGGTCGGCAGAAGGTAGGCGAAAACATTGGACATGTCCGGTCGAGAGGCCGACTCCCAGGAGAGGTTCAGTCGGGTGCAGGGCCTGGGAGAAGAGATCGGCGCTTAGAGGTAAGGTGCAAAGATTTTCGAACATGATAGGCGGATGTCAATTGACATGGCAATTGACATAATCCAGAAATTCGTTTAGTTAAAGATCGACTTCATATTTTCCATATCCTGGTAAATCGGGTCAAGATTCCAAGAACCTCTGTGTAAGGTGGAATATGGAGAATTGGACTCGACGCGCAAGAATTAAAAAAAGACGGGATAGAAATTGATATCGGATAAGGAAGTTTTGCGACGTATTGTTTATATGCATATGCTAATAGAAGGTATTGTAAAGTACGTAACAGTGCCCGATTACAATACGTTATTTAGGTTCTCAACCCCCAATTCCACTCGCCATTATGGCAAGCTTTCCTTTTCTGACCGGGTATATATAACCTCATTGACCATTTCATCTACCTACTACCAGCTGATTAGTAGGTCATATTATCCTCAATCGTGATACTCTACTTTGACCTACAAATCTAGATACCTATGAACCTTTAGAGCTCTGTTTGACCTTCTCAGAACATAATATCCACTACTATAGTCATTTGACTCTACCCATAGCGTTATGGAACTCGTCATTGTCTTAATCGTAGGTAGACAACGCTTCATTTGTCATGTCGTAAAATTCAGAGAGTAGAAATTCGGTGGGCAGTGCATCGTCGTTGTATTTCAAGATGCCGCCGAAATCTTGGACTTCTATCCAACCACCAGGTTTAAGATGGCTTTGATTCCTTTCCTCAGCTTACACAAATTATAAAAGGCGATGTCTTCCAGACCGGGCTTACCTAAAACTCTGCTTGCAAACTCCAAGGGGGTCTCTGATCGCCGAGAAGACCTGACGGATGTGAACAAGATCCCAATCGTCGCCATAGACCCATTCGTCTTCGATGTCACCGACAACGAAACGGACGCTACTGGGGACCCAGAAAGGCTGAATAGGACTCAAGTCGTAACCGACAACTTGGGCGCCGGGGAACATATCGGCGACTACAAAAGTTCCAGTGAGAAAAGTTAGCAGAACAGGTTTCAGCGACGCCCGTAACATTTAAGGATTCAATTCACCTTCGATAGCCCAAGACCCGGTTCCTGTGCCTAAATCTATTATCTTCTAAGGGGCTTCACCAATTAGCGTAAAGAAGTATTTACCCCTTTACCATCTATGAGCATTCGAATTCTTATCATTATTACCTTATAGAGTAAATCATACCTCGTGAGCTCTAAGCTTGCTACATGTTTGATGTCGTCTCTATTCTGCTCAGTCTCGTCATTTGGGATGAAATCTACGTCTTCTGGTGCCAGAAAAGCACAGGTACGAAGTCCACTTATATTAACAAACCAAGGCTTCTAAAAGAGTCAAAACGTACTATCTTCGGAATAGTATAAAGGACATAAACAATACGATTTAGAAGTTGTAGGAGCAATGGTGTAACAAGGTGCACGGGCTTATCCTTCAAAGTGAAAAGACCGATGACAGACTAAACAGTCGGAGGAATAACCAACCTACAAGCTTCATATCGATACTTATGATACTATCGTGAGATGGTTAGTGATCCATATTTTAGATTCGAATATTTTGGTAATACTCTTGGGCCGGTCTCGTAGGCATGGAGATAAATAGACGAAGGAACACTCTCAAACTTGCTTGCCGACGCGGTATCAAAGCCGGCATCTTCAAACTCGTCGTCTACATCTTCCGACCTTGCGACAGCAATCTCACTACCACTGCATATTGCCACCTCCGAATCCCACGGGTCATTGGAACCCGGGCTAGACCCCATCCTCGTTAAGTCAACGACCGACGACATACCCGACTTCAACATAATATTAATAGGTACCTATTTAAGATTATTTCAAATCGGGATAGGGAAGGCAGCGAAACTATTCAATGAAGGGAATCATCGTACAATACCACAAGGCCTATAAAAAATAAAAAGGAGGCGATGATATAGGATAGTCTAATGTTTTAATAGAAAATTAAATAAATACATAACTACCTATACTTTAACCCTAAATAGCACTGGGACACGCATGAGTCCGCATGAGTCCGCATGAGTCCGCAGGGGGGGTTGGGGTTGGGGTTGTCAATGCGCATACCTACATACCTGTGGGCTTTTACTACGGTAGCCTGCCGCTCGTTTAGTTTTCGTGAACCATCTGGCTGGGTCCTCTATTTGTACATGTATTAGACGTAGCCTAGGTATTCAAGTTAGACAGAATATGTAGACAAGATATAACGCTGGCTAGGGAGAAATCGTACAGGATAACTTAACGTCAAGACAAGAAGATGAAGAACTGCTATTATCTGCTTGATGTCACTGTAGGATGCTTGTTAAATTCCTATTCGGTAACCTTGGATGTGAATATTTGGGGGGGTGAAAAGGACGAAAAGGCAGAAAGGACGATCTCCCGAGATCTCCAATGTGACCCTGAGCCGGTAACCGAAAAGGCTTATTAATAGGGGAAACCTCAATTGATCAATATCTTCCAGGGCTGCCCCTGCATTAGAGGCATATCATGCAAGGGTATAGGTACATAAGAGCTATGTAACTCTTGCCGCCGAAGACCACTAACCTACCAGAAGGCACTTACTATATTGCACCTCTGAATGATAAACGGTGAGGAACCTTCGATGATATTTCAAGATTATATGCAACTGTACGACAATTTAAGAAGGAGGTGCCTGAGTATTAAATATAAATCCACATTCCTACTTTATCATAATCTAATTTTGAAACCCAGAAAAAGAATATAATCTATCTCCCGTCAACATCGTTTTCGTAATTCTTAGTCAACCGTCAACATGATTCCCATCGTCTTTCAAAAGTCACTTACATGCATCCTGTCGGTTGCTGCGATGGTTTCCGCGGCTAGGCCTCTTCGAAACATCATGTACCTCACAGGGTAAGCTGGGCTTTGCCAGTCCCTATTCCCGTTGTCGTTCTAATCATAGTGTATTAGACAACATCCCATAACACCCGAACAACATCTTAGCCGGCCTATCACTCATGTGGCTATGGCGTTCATGAGCCCCGACCTATTCAACCGCCCTGTAGGCAACTCTACCTGGCCTCTGTTCATAACCGTTGATGAAGCTCGCTCTAAATTCAACCCGGGAACCAAAGTGATAGTAGCCATCGGTGGCTGGGGTGATTCGACCGGTTTCGATACCGCCGCAAGTACGAATGAGAGCCGTGAGATATTTGCTCAAAACATAGCCGCCATGATTCATGATACGGGTGCTGATGGTGAGTTTGCGAACTTTGCTTAGTGTCGCTTAGAAATGTATCTCCCGCTGACGCTTAACACATCGCAGGCGTCGATATTGATTGGGAGTATCCGGCGTACGTCTCATTCCCACTTTACGTTTAGCCCAAGCATTTTCTTTGGCGTGAAGCTAATACTCATTTCAGAGGCAACGGTGAGGATTGGATGAAAGTTCCCAATGAAGAGAGAACCTGGCAAGTCGCCGCATATCCAGAGTTTCTCGCCGATATACGCAAGGCTCTAGGACCGGATAAAATTTTATCAGCAGCGGTACCAGGCCTCTTAAGAGACATGCTCGCCTTTAAATCTGAGACCGTCCCCCGTATTATGGAATCCCTCGACTTCTTGAACGTCATGACTTACGACCTGATGAACCGGCGCGACAATGTGACGAAACACCACACCGGCGTTCAAGCTAGCTTGGACTCGGTGCATGCGTACTTGGAAAGGGGCGCAACACGCGACAAGATTAACCTCGGCTTTGCTTTTTACGCAAAGTATTTCCGCACCGAGCTCGCGCCGTGCGTGGAGAACCCAATCGGCTGTCCTACCGGCCTGATGGAAGACCCGGACACGGGCGTTGACCTCGGTCGAGCAGGGTCTTTCTCGTGGCACGATACCGTCCCTGAGGACGTCGAGTCATCGTTCAACAAAGCCATTACAGAAGGAAGTTACGATGAAGTTGGGGGTGGTTACTACTACTGGGACCAAGATGAGGCTATCTGGTGGACCTTTGATACTCCGCTAGCCATCGCCAAGAAGTTCCCTCTCATCGTTGAAAAGGAAAAGCTGGGCGGCGTATTCGCATGGGGATTGGGTGAGGACGCGCCAAAATGGGCACATCTCAAGGTACTCAATGCCGGCGTAAGGCAACTATCCATCAGAAAAGAGGAGCTATAGAATTTTATTCATTCAAGGTACTCTAATGAGTGAAATTCTCGTACTGCCAAAAGAGCATGGCTCTTTCTTTCGGTTTACATCTTTATAACAGTTGTAGTCTTATTGAATTATTATTACTTAAGAGGTTGATACATGCTCGCGTTTGGGACACGCAATACAAGAGCCCGTGATCTTTACAGCTGAGACACCTCTCTACCTAATTCCGTTGAAATACAAGCCAGATTCTACTGCCGTGTCTAATCAGACGTTTAGATAGATAGACCTCTCAAGCCATACCAAAAATCTCAGCTGCGAGTATCTCGTCGCTAATTTCTACCTCGAGCTCAGAAAAATCCAAAGCAATTGGCATAATAGGTGACAGTCGCGGACCAGTCTGAGAAGATACCTTCGACACCAACTTGCCGGGCTAAAACATCAACAAGCTTATACATGTCCCCGTCCTTGTGCGTACCGTTAGCGATAGTCGAATAGTAATAGTCGCCGGCGGCTGCCGCTTGAGCGAGTGGTCCTGAGCGTTCGAGAGACCATGTCAGGATCTTTAGCCCCAGCTTCCGCGCCGTCGTCGCATACGTAGATGGCACATACTCGCCATCCTTTCCGAGCGTGACGAGGTACGGAAGCGGAGGCGCCACAATCTGTACGCCGGCATCCTTATAAAACGACAAATTGGCTACGGCAGCCGGGAAAGACCCCGGAAGATCACCACTTTGGTCTAGTAGCACCACTTGCCTGCCAAATGCGGGATCAGCGCGTAACCAATAGGCCACGTCAGCGAACGAAAAGCTCTGTAGCCAGACGCGTGATGGATCGATTCTCGCCGCTCGGTACTCTTCGATCACCTGCTGCGCGTACTTCTCTTGTGTGTAATCACCGTCGAAAGGCATTGGCACACGCGGTTGCTTAAGCTCGGTCGTAAAATCCCGGCCGTGAGAATCGACCAGCTGCAAAAACTCTTTATGCGAGAGAACTGTGCCGCAAGTAGCGTAGAGATCAGTCCGCCACGAGGGCGTCCCGTGAAGAAAATCTTCCGGGGTGGTAGCTGATGCATTGTAGCCGTCCATCTTCCCACACAGGGATTTGAATTCGGCCAGCGTAATGTCGCTGGTACAGCACTTGGCAGTTGCCGGCGTGCCGTCTCTTGCGGGCGTAAAGGGTGTCGTGCACTTAGCGCCGAGTTCCGTCGCGACGATATTAGTCGTCGTGTGGAGATCGCATTGATCGTGTCGGCACACGAGCTCGCGGTCGTTAGTAAAGGCGACATCGCATTCAAGGATTCCAGCGCCCACTTGAATAGCAAGTCAGCAATCTTCTCTTTGGGTTATACGTATAGGGTATAGTACTGCGTGTGCCGGCCTCGACGGACTCTCGAGTCTCTTCGGGAAATTGAAGACAAGCACCGCCGCGGTGACCAATACTGAACCTAGATGGCCGAGCTTCCACGTCAGAACATGCGGACAGTCGATTCTTCAGCCATCCTTCGTCCATATCGGCCACAAGGTATTGCGGACGGGGTCCGAGCTCGGCATTTTGGAAACGGTGCTGGGGCGGAGGACTCCACGACTTTGGCTTCCACCACTCGGGCACCGTGGGCAAAGCAGATACCTCGCTTGCGGCGAAGATGAATGCGACGACCGAAGACGTCTTAACGTACATGGCAAGCAATCAATCCAAACTTATAACAGATCAAAATGAACGAACTACGGGAAGAGGTCCCGGGATGTACCTAGCATTAAGAGTTCAATAGGGCTGTAAAGCTGAGGACAAAGCTACCTATTTATTAGATTACCGATATGGCTTACATATCAACAACCGTAGACGTTGTTAGACGATATAAGTAGAGATCGGCCGAAGCTGAAATGATACCTACTCACAGCTTGATCCTTGGCTGATTAGCCATTGTCCAATAGAAAAATAGGATAAAGAAGCACGAGGGATGTCTGTGGCGTACCAAGGATTAGCTTTGCATGCAAGCTCACTGAAGTCCTGCCTTAACTTGTAAGGGAGTGCATTCAACCATACCAAGCTCGGTATGGAAGCACGTGGCGTCCCAGTACGACAGGAACCTGAGGCCTGAAAGGCGGGATCGTGCTACGATATTCTGTTATGATTTGCTAAGACGAAGTTGTTATCTATCGTCAAATAGTACAACGTTTACCGTCATGGCGAATTATTAAGATGCATCAAAAACGGGTGGCTCATGAGAGGGTAACCCCAAAGACGGTGTTCCGACTTTTCATCATCGTCGTCTTTTCCCTCTCGTTTTTGAAAATCCGAATCATCTAGTTCCTTTACTTGGCAAACCCCTTCATTCCTCTCATCTTTTAGGGATAACTCTTCCTAAGATCCTCACCTCCAATATGCTCCAACCCGAGCCTCCCTCCTTTGAAGAATTTCAAGCTTACGCCTTTTGCTCGCGCTTTAACGGTGGCCCAGGGCGACTCAAATTTCCATGTCGTTTTTTAGAAATTTACGATGTGAATTGAGATAGAATTGAGATTAGGAAAGCGCTCATCTCGGTATCGGATAAGTTCTACCAAGGCGCGATCAAGTCGCTTAGCATCCCAAAATTCATAACACTTGGGATCAACTTGCCAAGAGGCCTGGAGCCGTTTTACTCTCGGAAACAGATTGAACACTGCCAGTGGCGCAGTACAATCGCGGGAGTAAGAACCGCCGCCGTAATATTCATGATGCATGTCTATATGGAAAGTTAGCTCTGTAAGATAGCCATGCTTCTATTCTCTTCTCACCATGTATAGGTAGTTACTGAGTCTAGCATAGGCCAAACACCATGTGTCGGCGTTTCCCCTCCTCGATTCGTATTTTCCTCCAGGATATCTCTTAGTAGGTCCCAATACGAGTTCGAGAAGTGATCGCTAATTGAAAGAGGGCATGTTTATCATAGATATCCATCGACTCTATGGTATGATTTAGGATTTCGATAGGGAGGTCTAGTAAGGATGCCATGGTGTAACGTTTTTGGCTTCTGAAGCAATATAATACAGTCCGGGTGGCCTGTTAGTTTCAAGACTTCAAGATAACCCTTGTCACCCGTAGATTAACCCCTTTATTAAACTATTATTTTGATTTATATGCTGACCGAGATGTTATGAAGAGAATAAATCTCATATTCCATTAGATCTAAAGTGAACAACATTGTCTCGGCACCTTCAGCTTATTTATTATTGTTACATCCACATACCTCTTATACATTAAGCTACAAGTCTCGGGGTTGATATTTAATAGCACTTACGGCTAAGTGGGGATGTATAACCCAACATGGCTAGTAAGTAGCTTTCCATACAAATTTATATGTTATGGTACTAAACATCAATGGAAAGATCAACTTTTCAATGATAGGTACTAACCAAAGTGGTGCTTATTCATCAAAATAAGATTTAAGAATATACTAAAAAGTATTAATGTTTAGTACCACAACATATAAATTTGTATGGAAAGCTACCTATTAGCCATGTTGGGTTATACATCCCCACTTAGCCGTAAGTGCTATTAAATATCAACCCCGAGACTTATACCTATTATGGGTGTAAAACTAACTAAAGAAAGTTAGATATTATCAAATCGATATTCGAAAGCCGCTAGGTCTTAATCGGCCAATCGAATTGGTCATGCGCCAAGCTGTTGACCAAATACGGTAAAGAGTTTGCTCGCGGTTACCTAAGGCCCTTTAAAAGCAATCAGATCTATGTAAAGTTCGAGATCGTCTCAATTACGTCATAATATTCTTAGCCCTATGACGAAACGCAAACACATTACCTAACACTTTTTGTCTATTGTCTTTGTAAAAGTCTGTTCCAAACTCCGGATAACAATGCCGAATAAGAATCAGATGGGATTTTACTACTACTAATGTAGTCTACTGGTTAAATCCAGCCACAAAGTCTACGTCTTATTTGCGGCTTAGGACAAATACGACTGGTTCAGTCCACGTCACATCATCCACTTAAGCTTTCAGAATACATAATACACCACTTGTACCACTTACACCATTTTGTACCGTAGCATATGTAGTTCCAAGTTTCTGCTGCGAATCGCGCACACTCTGGACGAATCGTCATCACATCTTGGATGTGCCGTAACCAGCTTTTGCCGTCATGCCACGCCATGCCACATGTAAGTTCCTGTTCATGCTAGACTATGAATGGCCGTGATACTGCATACATATAAACCTCGCCTGCCTTAGAAGTTAGAAGCTTTGCTTCTTGTAATCATGCATACCCAACAATCTAGCCTCACCTCCATAACCCATAATCCCATAATCCCATAATCTCATACTACCCATCTCGATCTAAAAGAACGCTTTTATGCTTTGTACATAACAAAGGTTCGAATACTAGCTACTACCGTTTATAGTAGCACCATTAGGATATCGCGATTGTCATAATCATACGGCCCTCTTCTTACAGCTCCAAACCCATAAACACAATCCCAATGGCGTACGGGTTTATCCCCATCGTCCACATCGTGGCAGCCGTCTTCGCTATCATCGAGCTTGGCTTAACAGCATATTGTACGTTACTTTCACCTGACCTAAAGAAGCGAAAGAACCCCGGAATTAATAAAGATGGAATTGCTAACTTGCCGTATTTTATAGTGGCCAGTTGGTACGATAGTTGGCTTGGCTTCGGCGGCTACTCACCATCGCGCGTCAATTTCATGATATTCAACTCGGTATGGTCGTTATTAGTACTGATCTACGTGGGTGTGACGCCGCTATACCTGACCAGCGTCTTCCACCGGTTGGCAGCCCTCGCCCTTAATGCCATCACCACTATCTTCTGGTTCGCCGGCGCAATCGCACTTGCTGTCTTCGTCCGCGGGCCTTACCAATGTGGATCGGACTCGTTTTGTGGTTCCGCCGAGGCTGCTGTTGCTTTTGGCTTCTTCCTTTGGTACGTTTTCCGACCCTTAATAACTCTCACAACCAAGCGCAATTCAATAAAAGGAAGTGAAGAAATAAGTAACTAATATACTATATAGGGCTCTTTTCACCTTTCTTACCGTTATCGATGCTATCGACTCTCTCCGAAGCCGTGGTCACAACGTCAGTAAGCCGCACGCGCAGCCTGGCGTATAATCACCCTAGCTACTACGATTTTGAATACCCTGTATGGTTATACATAAATGAGTCTTGCTCCTCTATTAGTAATATGACACTGTTTTACCGGCCTCGCGTATCTGGAATAAGGATGTAAACTTGGGTTTTTGACAGGCGTTTCGTTAATGGATGGCGTTCAGGAAACGATAATGATATACCCTTTTTAGATAGACCACAATAAACACGATTCTTCTCAAACATAGGATTTCATCTAAATGTGATTCTTCATTAAAATATTACCCGTTAGCTATTAAATCAGTCTAATGCTAGGCAAGTTTTACACTGCATTCCCAAGTCGTATCAACCAAAAAGCCCCATTATCCAAAGTCGAGCTAAACCGCGTCGGTTCGTAAGACCTGAACACCAAAGCTTATTATACCGTTAGTATACAAGTGAACCTTGGCCAAATAGGCCCATCTCTTCCTACCATAGGGCTAGATGTTATTTATTCATTATTTTTGCCATTTTCTCTATCCTTCAGGGCGGTGGCGTAGTCGAGGTCTACGCGATGCCATGCTGTAGCCAAGTTTCCCCGTATATTATATATGCTCTTGTGAGTCTCGGGTTGGGTATTGTATGCGTCGTCCGTGGCTTTGACAACAAGGGTAGTCTTCGACCCGCCCTTTGAGCCTTTCGCAACTTCGGACAGTCCGGCCTCGTACCGCCACCTCTTCCAGCACCATGCTTTACTTCCTCTTTCGAGTTTGGTGTCGTCGACCAGCTGCGCTTGGTCCCACGTCTCCCCACCATCTAGACTTATGTCGACACGCTGGATCTCTCGCCCACCGCCCGAATAGGCGTACCCTTCGATCTGAACAACAGATCTCTCGGCTAACTCCCTGGTACTTTCGGCGGATATCCTTTTTGAAGATTTTAATGTCGTACGCGTGATCGCGCTCGTAATGGGCATCACTTGGATAGCCTTGTACTTGTCCCAATCCTGCTTGACTTCGTTCGGCCCGAAGCATTTGTAATCCCGACGTTGCCATGTCGTATTGCTCTCTTCGTCGCTCACCACGATCTTGTTCACCCACTTGACGCATCTCGCCGCTACATGACCTGGAACAATCACCCTAACCGGAAAGCCATGGTCGCGTGGAAGGGGGGCATCGTTCATCTTGAACGCGAGGAGCACGTCACCCATGGGATCGAGGACCGGCGCGATAGGGATGCTGGCACCGTATGCTTCCAGTCCTGAGAATTGGACGTGTTGGGCATCTTCTCCCGGATCTTCGAGAGACAGGCCGGCGTCGGCGAGGACGTCTCGTAGTCGCACACCTTCCCATTTTGCGCAGCTGATAGCGCCGACCGTCCATTGTAAACCGTTTGTTTTTTTCGCATAGCGGGTCATATCGCTACGTCGGTTTCCAGAGCATTGCAAAACAGCCGTTACAGTATGCTGCTTAAAACGAGCTTTGAGATCCTTGATGCTGTAATTTTTGATGTCACCATCGGGTAGTTCAACGGTGATACTGTGATCGTCGGCTTCGGTATTTTCTACGACAGGAACCCACATGTGATTACGGACGTAGAAAACCTCATTCGGAGTGAGAAAATGTTCTGCCAATTCATTCCCAGGGGTTTCTGCGTTACACGGCTTCTCCGTTAGCTTCATCAGCCTTGCGTCCCTGACCGGGTCGGCCATAAACGGATCTTCGATGTGGTCCTGCAGCGGTCTTCCATTCTCGAGGTCATCCGGATGCACTTTTCCAACTACGTACTGTTCAAGAATCTCGCGGACGTACGGCGACTTATGAATAGAGAAGATGTCCCAGTACGGTTCGATGCTACCGCCGGCGGCACGAAGGATAACCTCACCACCAGGGTGGGCAGGGACCCAATCTGTTATGTCGAACACCTTGTCCTCATATATCACCCAAGGCCTTTCGGATTTTGGCCCATGCTCTTTGACCTCTGAAAGCCTATAGCGTGGCAAACCGTCATCATCATTGCTAGAAGCCGAGTCGGGAGGTGGGTCTACATCTCGGGGCACCTCGAGAGGCTCGTGGGAAACAGGTTGGAGGACGGAGAAGAGTATGGTGAGAAGTCCACCGCCTGCAGCGAGGACGGGGAAGGGACGCAGACGACGAGCATTAGAAGGCGGTTTAGGCGCCGTCTTGAACGACGCAGTTCGAAAAACGGATTGGAAGCTAAAGAATCTGGCACAGGAATCGGCTGGTTGTCGAATCTCGGATTTTTGAAGATAATGGAAAGCTGGTCGATATCGTCTTGCCGCTTTAAATAGCTCTAGGCTTAGTTGCCGTGAGGTTGGTATCGACATGGCGTAAGTTAAGAGACCTCGTTAGTCTTACCATAAGGTGAAGTTGAATTAGGAATCACCAGCACTATGTCCATAACAGCGTGCTGCAGACAGGCCGTGTAGCGTCGGTTTAGTTTAGAGAGGCGATTCCTCAACTCGTGGGTCCGTCGAGACGACGAAGCACGGAACCTCTCCACTCTAACAAAATTTAAATGTTGTGCCCTGACTAGAAAAAAAAGTAAACGCAAACACCAAAGTAAGAAAAGATAGCGAACGTGCTTATAAGGAACTACCTCGATATATAATAAATACAGTTCAATGTAAATAAGTCTAATCACAACCTTAAAGGAGAAAGGTAAGAAGAGAACAACCAAAACACGGGCAGGATTAAACCTTTGAAAAAAAAAATATAGACGTGAGTCAAGCAAATAGAAAACCCCCAGAATCAATAATCTTTCGGCTGCCGAAAGCCGCCAAACCGTGATTCCGTACAAGGCGCTGATCGGTGTAAGTGGAAAAAAAGATGACGGTTTAAGAGATAAGGGAGATATATCGGTAGACGACGAGTTGCAAACATTGCAAGCCGGACGGAAAAGAGAAGACGAATCGTTGGGCACACGGCCGATAAGAGAACGAAGCCTACCACAAATTCAATCAAGTCCGATCTCGCAGCGTTTACGAAAGACGAATTACGTCTCTATGCTTGTAGACGCTTGCTTTACCTCTGTCTTCTTCACTTACCTTGGTACTCACCGATAATTGATGCTACTTTGCAAGCGAACAGTAGGGACACACGTAGGTGACGGTTAAAAGAGAAGGATGGTTGAATATTGTAGGTTGGTGGCTCAGGGTTGGATGATGGATGGAATGACGGATGACGGCACAAGGAGAAGGTTCGAAGAATCTTAGTGGAAGCCATTCACCGCTAGAAATCCCCTGCTGCCCCTGTACGTAAGCTCTTGCATCCAGCAGGGCTGAAAACCTGCTAGCGACGTATAATTACCTAGCCCTAATTGGCCAAGTTATACCGCTAATGTTAGGTACCTAGCCGGGTTACATACAGCTACCCATGCTGCCATGCTGCCATGCCTTCCGTCTTGTTTCCTTCCGAGTCCCGACGGCCTAACCGTTTGACGGCATTCGGGACATTTGATATGTCGGCCCCGAACCGGAAGCCGGCCTCCATCCAATTGTAGTATTCATAGGTATATCAATAAGCACATATGCAGGTCTTTAATCATCTGCGTATCAACTTGTAACGCGTCAGCCCGCTAAAAAAATCTATTCGAAGCAACCAATGTTATAGCCTAAGTACGATAGTCTTTTACGTTTGTTTAATATCGAGCTTAATATAGGGGGAAGTTTCTTCTTTACTTAAGTCCTTACATTAATACTTAGAAGTCTTAAGCGAGAATCGATTCGGTAATAATATAGTTCACATGACTCGTTTCAGTGAATTCTTTAAAACCGTTATTTATGAACCAGCAAGAACAAACAAAAACGCGGTGGGGTTTATAGACTATAAATGTAGTATCTATACTCAAGAGCTTGAGGGTTACTACAGTGATGCAATTAAAATGGACAAACGCTTCGTATCAGCACGGTAGTTTTGGACCTTATAGTCGCAGCTTGGTTAATTTATACCTACCAGGTAGGTAAGCTAGTGATATCCATACAAATAATGTGAAACTTAGCCATGGTCGATGTGGATAGATCTTTAGCCTCGGGACTCATTTCACTTATAGTATGTTACATTCGTAAAAGAAGGCATATGCGTGCCAAGAAAACATGACAAGAGCGGCTGCTGGTCCGAGATGCCAAGATCTCGAGGTTTATTTCAATACGATCTCTGTCGGAGGGCAATCGTCCGAGAATCATAAGGACCCTGGGAAGGTGGTGATACCAAATGGATGAACTGGATATAATTCCGCGGCTTAATACCACCAGATGAGCTTCTTTGCATTTATCAGAACGCCCACCGGGGCTATTAATCCACAAAGAACATATCACAGAACAAGGTGATGTTATATTAAACCAATATATTCACGGGGATCGACAGGGGGAAAAGAAACCGTTATATAGATGTAAACTGCTAGACTTTTTGGTGTAGATCGTTTCCGAACCGATTTACACAAATCCCATCGATATCATCTCAACACTACAAGATCGCCATCCGCCATGCGTTTATCCATCCTCGCCGCAACACTGACCTACGCTTCCGCCGTATCGGGAGCGATAACATGGACGCTGCAAAAAGCCTCTAACCCAACGGCTGACCAATCGGAGGCGTATGCTCGCATCGAATCAGCTATGAAGCTTGCTGTTGCGCGATACTCCCGCTTCACGAGCGCCAGCAAGACTATCCGAGTTTATTATTCTCCCGGCGTACCCACAGCCGAAGCCAACTATAACGGAGACCTTCGATTCGGCTCAGACCGGTCTTACATGACCGAGCGCACGGCGATGCACGAGATAGCTCACACGCTTGGGGTTGGACAGACGGCTGCTTTCGATCAACACTGCGCGGCCAATAACTGGCCGAAAGCGACGCCGCTGCTTCGGTCGTGGGATGGCCCTAATGCTAAGATAAGCTGTGGTGGCGGCCACTTTTGGCCTTATGGTCTGAACTACGAGAGCGAGTGGAGCGAGACAAATGGTGACCGCCATGTTCAACTAGTTGACGCTATGCTTGCCGATGGGATGTAAGGGGTACTTTGTTCATTAGTAGCGCGTACGAATACAAGAATCAATGAAACAGGTACTTATGCGCTTCCGAAATGCATTAAGCGGTTAAGGATAATTGATAATTACGGAGGGACGCGCGACTCTGAACGAGGCTATTCGTATTTATGAAAGGGGGCGGAAAGCTGCTGGATTCGAGATGTACATCTCTTATGTATTGTGAGTATAGCGAGAAACTACACGGAAAAATATTCGAGCATGAATTTCCGTCTTGTACATACTACGTTGCGTAGGTAGTTAGCATCCAGCGCAGAGACAATACAATTTGCCTATAACAGTCGAGTTCGAGTAGCGGGCAGCGATGTTGATGTACTGGCTCGATCAGTTGAAAATCTGAATATTTAGTAGTGCTCTTAGGCTTAGGACGCCATGGTAATTATTGCGCGGGACTGGATCATCTATGTTACAATTAAGATACAAGTTCGCACGGCTGCCGTTATCTAGAATACCACGTCTAGTCATCCTCCTCTTCGTCGGTATAGTAGTCAAATTCGTGAGGAACTTGTGCCTCTTCGTCTCCTTCGCCATCCTCATCAATGGCAGTCAACACGCCAGCGGCGGCGGCGGCACCACTCGTGTTCCGACTTGGAGTAGCGAGCTGGTCCCGTCCAAGCCGACTGAGGAGCGCTTCCTCAACGGATCGTGGATTGCGCGAACCAGCACCCGCGACAGGGGCCTTCTCTGTTGCTACCTTCTTGAGTTTTTCTTCGATAAGCGCCTTTTCCTTGTCGGGCTGCGTATCGTGGAGTAGTATAGGACCACCGGTAGGCTGCATTTAGAGTTAGCATTACGAAGCGAGGAAAATTTGTCGGATCGTCTTACCAATGGACCAGGTCTCACCAATTTGACGGGCCAGTAACGACCCTTGGCCAGGCTGATATACTTGAGCTGCGCGGGTAAAACGCGGCTCATATTCTCAATATCGTAGCCTGGCTTTTCCTTCTCCGCCTTTTTCTTGATATCCACAGGAGGCGTTGATCCCTCCTTGTCTCCTGGCGCAGGAGTATCGCCCCCCTTTTTGTCTTTGGTGTCCTCACCTGGCTTGGTCTTCGTGTCGACTTCCATCTTATCGTTGGTGGCACCTGGCTTGGAAGTGGTCGGAGTAGCAGTGGAGTCGATATCCATGCTCTCTCGTCGCTGCGCCTTCTCCTTTTTCTGGGCTCGGCGTTTGGCCTGGGCGGTGGTGGAGAGAATGGCGGTAGCAATCATGGCCGGTCCCTCTTCCGTCTTGACCTCCTGTTCTGGTGGGTAGTCGAACAGGCTTGGCTTGGTAGCGCAGTGAAATTTGACGTCGATGATATCCAACTCGTGATCGAGAGCGATGATAGAGGTTGGACTAAAGGCCAAGGACAGGAAATGAGTGAAGGGGAACCAGTACCAGTACTGCGTGAATACAGCCATCCCGACGATGCCGGCCATGTTTAGATTGCCCGTCTGGGTTTGCAGACCGATCGTGCAATTACGTCCGCCGGCGTCGATAATACCCAGGGCAAGGGCGGCACCGAATTTGGTCATCGCATCCTCGTGGCGGTCGCCAACGACCTTCTTAAGTGTCTTGCGGATTGACGCAACCTTGGGGTTCATCACTTCGTTCTGCTGGATCATGATCATGGCCAACGCAATTAGAGCGCCTTGCCTGACGAAATCGGTGGGGTCCTTCATCATAGGCTCTAGAAGGTCGATAGCCTCGTCGAGTCCTGTTCCCGCGCATGAGATACCGAGCGCCATGGCGGAACCGTAACGCACGTGGGGATTGTATGATTCGGAGAGGAGCTCGACCATGCGAGGCACGCTCCCGGGCTTACGGAACAGGATGAAGCCCAAGCTCATGACTGCGATTCGCCGAACATCGTCGTTTACATCGCTGACGGCGACGTGCAGCAACTTTCGAATCGCCTTGTTGCTGCCGGTACCGCAGTAAGCCATTGCCACAGTCATAATACCACCGTATCGCAACGATGGATCCGGATCCATCAGAAGACCTTCAATCATGACGTCCGCGCCCTCCTGCTGGCCATACATAATCAAGGCCATACCTAGAGCCAAACCTCGCACACTCTTCTCATGGGATGTTTCGTGCGCGTAGGCAACCATATCTTCCAGGGCCTTCACATTTCCGGTACCCAGCATGATCAGACCCATCGCAAGACCGACAGCTTCACCATTCAGAGCAGAGTCGGCGTAAAGAACAGCCTTGAGATTCTCGAAAATCTCTTCGTTTCCGCTGGCCATGCCAGCGAGACCAAGACCTAGGGCGCCACCGTGCTGGATAACCTCTTCCTCGGCAGCGATAAACTGGGTCTTAAGGTAGTCCAAGGCGTCGGCACCGTGATTCGCGTGAATAAGACCGTACGCATAGAGGGCTCCACCCTGCGAATAGGGAGAGCCGCCGCTAATACCACCGGCACCTCGGGGGAGATAAGGCTCTAAGAGCTTCCTAGATTGGGAGAGGTTCCCGCGATGGATAACACCCAAAGCCGCAGTGGCAGTGAACTTGGACCAGTTCACGGCCTTGCCTAGCCACTCTAAGTTATCTCGGAAGAACTTGTCGTTGGTTGTGCCCTGGTTCATAAAGGCATTGCAGAAAGTGACAGCCGTGTGAAAGATGGAATGTCGGCCCTCTAGACTGTCTCGAACCTTGTTGAGAATACTTAGGTCGGTACGGTTGTTACGGTAGAGGAACTCAAGGTTGAGCTTGATGGTTTTGGTGCCGTCCAGGATGGAGCGGATGTTTTTATAGATCGAAGCCTTCTTCTCATCGACTTCTCCGTTATCAGAATCTCCAAGTAAGGGTTCTCTCTCGGATTCGCCGGTGGACTCGCCCTCTTTCTTCTCGGCAGGTGGCTCACCCTTGGGCAAGCCTGAGATAACCTTGCCCAGAAACTCCTGCGTGCCGTTGTCGTAAAGGTCGAAAGCAAATTGGTACGCTATGGCGATAGCCTCGATGGTCTCACTTTTGACGAGATGCTGTATGACGGTGCGGGCCTGCTCGTCCTTGTTAAGATAGACAATACACTTAGCGATGGAGAAATAGTCAGGATCCTTAGCCCGGCCGCTAGTGAGAATATCGAGGATAAGCTGCAAGATGTCATCCCGAAAAGCTCGCTCTTGCACTACGTCCATGCATATATTTAAGCAGTAGTCGAGAAGCTCCTCAGCAGGGCCCATAGCGTCTTCCTGCGTGGATTTGCCCTTGTTGCGTTTATAATCATCGTCTGCGCGTTGAATAACCTTGCTGACCACATCGAGCCGCTTAGCTTCGACGGCGATACCTACAACCTGCTGGTAACGCCTCTCTCTCAAGCAGCTCTCGAATAATCGCTCGATAACGCTGTCAATGGCACGTCGGGTGTCAAGTTCGTTGTGGGTCAAAGCAATAGAGGATGACCGGTGCTGCTTTTTCTGGGGTTCAAAGGATGGCTCGAGAATTGTATTGTCGGTGGAAGCGCGAGACAGAAGAGACTTAGACGGCAAGGTGGACTGGGAGAAGGGAGTCGTGGGCGAGATGAGGGTGGAGGCGTTGCCGTCGGTAGTAGTGCTCGAAAAAGCCGTAGCGAGGGCAGGCAGAGAAGCGTCCCCGTCCTTCTTGCTAACGACGGTGTGATTCTCATTCTTGGTAGCGATGTAATGGTCAACGCACTTGGAGATGATGGTTTCCTCAAACTCTCCGGGGTTGTCGAGCTTGAACAGCTCACCCGCGGCTAGGGCGAAAAACATGCTCTCATCGTAGGCTTGAAGGTGGTAGTAGACCTTGGCGAGAACGAGGGCGGCCAATTTGCGTTCGGGAAAGGATTCATCCTCATAGAGGGCCTCACTAAGAATCTCACTGGTTAGAATCTGATTATGTGAAGATGGATATTAGATGGTACGCAAAATTTTGCTTACATCTGGCCTAGAGCGCTGGCGACCTCGAACCAAACAGTGTCTATATCGTCGTTGAGGGTCTGCAGCGCGAACACCTTAAGCTCGGGCTCCTCGTCGGCTAGGAACGCTAGCACGCCAGTAGCTGTGACCAAACCAGGCATCTTGAAATCGTTCGTGTATAGGCGATGAGGTATAAGAGACGTTTACCAGACGAGTGTTTTCGGCGGTTGGAAATGGAAGAAAACAAGAGAATATACGGAACGGAACTAAGCCGATTACAGGATTGTACCGGCGGTTACGTCCGCTGTGCTGTGCAATGCGACTAGTGTGATGCTGTATTTATTTTTGTGTGGTGGATTATTTAATTTGAAGTTATTTCGAATGGATTTTGATGTGATAGATGCAAAGCTTGGATAGAAGCACCGGTCGACGCGCGATCCTTACAATGTACTTGGCATGGACTAAGCTTCAACGTCCACGTCAGGCGCAGCTCTGCCTGCCTGCCTTGGCAAACCGAATCTTGATTACCTAAGGTAGGTAGGTACCTAACATAAAGTACCTATACACCAGCCCCAACAGATAAGCCGCAAGTGGCTAGGTAAAGGGTTAACTTCCACCATAGAACCTTACAAGATTACGTACCTGCCAATCAGACGATGGCGTACCTTCTTCGAAGCGGGTAAGAATCTCAAACAAGAACTCGGTTCTCTTTGTATGTTAGGTAGGTACCTCCTATGTACTTAACTATCCAATTCGATCAAACTCGGACTTACAGAGCTAAAGAAGTCGTTACATGTAGTTAGGATTAAAAAGATTCTCTTTTCTCTTATCGTTATAGTAAAGAGCCAATACCGTTAGTTAGGTAGTTACATGGTAGTTATATCTAAGAAGCTGTATTCATAAACCTCCTGCCTTAGGTAATCACCATGTATTTTATTGGCTTTATTAGTATCAGATACCTAGATATACACTATTCGTAACACTGCACTATAGGTACTTATACTTTCGATAACTAACGTAAGGCAAGGATAGGAGAATAAAAAATAATTCAAAGCTCTTACCTAGGTACTGATTGATCGATTCATCATGTCACGCACGCTTTCGCATTCATCCCTGGAACTAATCTTTGTTATAATTCGACCAATTCTGTACAACTAGGAATAATACCCATCAGTCAATTCTATCATTGCTGTCGATTATTGCGCATAATTCTTTATAATATCTATTCACACCACGATAGCGACGTAGAGCAATTGTTATTACCTGGGGGGTAGATCCGATTAGAAGGTGGAAATGCAAGATTGATTTTTTTTTTTTTTTCGCGATATTGGCTCCAAAACGCGGACGTCCAACCCAACCCGACAAACCGACATCTCCTCCGTTTGCACCATCCACCGACTTTTACATGCCACATAACATATACAAGGCCATCATCGACAACCCGTCGCATTGATTGCCTCCTCCGAAATAACCGAACATTGTCACCTGAATGTATCGATAACGCTAGAGCACGCCAGCTTGAGTGCGAGCGAAGAGAGTAATTGTGTGTGCGCGCGCGACAGCGAAGAAGAGTTAAAGAGTTCGAAAGGAGATAGAGAGAGGGAAGGTCCAGATAGCGCGCGCACATATTATCTGTCTGTTGCATGCGTGTGTAAGTGGTATAATTGTATATGTATATGTGTTGCGAATTCGATCGTCCGGTATAGGAAACGAAAAAGTGTGCGACGAAGAGAAGAAGAGACGAAACCAAAACCAACAAAGAAGATTATCATCAAGAGAGCAAACAGTCGACATTGCGAAGATGGATCTCCGCGACGTGTTAAATGGGCCAGACGGAGGCGCATCAAAAAATAAGCCACCTCAGCAACCATCTTTACAGACATCACCATCTGTTATATCAACTCCGAATCCGAACTCGAACTCGAATTCAGTCGCGCCATCAACGCCCGCTCAAGTTAGTCCACATCCTCAATCATTTAGAGACTACGGCCACCCGACCCGCGCCTCACCAGGCCAACATCCCCACGAATATCCTCCTCCCGGCCCTGCTCATCTTCCAAGTCGTACTCCGAATTCTGCTGGCCCTTACCAGTCCCCAACGTCATATAATCCCCCGACGAACGCGTTTGCTGGCAGACCACCTGTTCCTCCTCTTCAGCCACCGGGCTCTCACGATTTACGATCACCAGGAAGCTCTTCAATATCGGGACCGTCACCTTACCGACGAACACCTACCTCGTCTGTTAGTACCGTAAGCGGAGGCTATCCGTTTCCTCCAACGCAGCAGCCACCCGTGAGCCCTGTGCAAAGACACCAATACGGCCCACCGAGTGCTAGCGCTGGTCCGGGTGTTGGTCCGAGTGCACCTGTGGGTGCCTATCCTCGCGATAGTTACAACAATCCCCAACCACAACACGGTTCCATTTCTTACGCACACAGCCAACAACAAGCGCAATCACTGCCACAAACACCTCCCGTAGGTACACCCGGTGGTAGTTCTCAATATTTACATCAAAGATCCCATTCGATCCAATCGACTCCTACGCCCACGTCTGCGCATAGCCAATCGGCTCCATATGGGCCCCCCTATATTCAAGGTAGTCCTGTTGCGACTATACATCCCCATCCACTTCTCATTGACCAACAGCAACAACAACAACAGCAGCAACAACAGCAACAACAGCAACAAATCCAGCATCAACGCCAACAATCTCAACCTCTAACACCTTTGGGACAACCATTGCCCCCGCGACTATCGCCTGCTGTAAGTTATAAGCAGCCTCCCAGTCCGTATCAAAAAAGGGCCTCTACTGTTTCTGCCGCCTACCCTCCTCAGCCGGTTCGGACGTCACCTAAACCGCCGCCTCCAGCTCCTATCCAGCGAATGTCAAGTGGCAGTAGTCACGGCACCTACGACGTTGTTGCCGAACACCGCGGGTCACAGTCTCGGAGTGAACGTGATAGAAGCGTCAGTGTCTCACCTAAAACACGTGTTCCTAGTCTACCCAGCAACGGTGGCCATCGCCCTTCCTCTACTAGCAGCGACGTAAATCCTTACAATCCCCAACGTCCTCCACAAGCACCTATTGTTAATACCATCATGGAACCCCAACACGTCAGCACTCCTGTGAAGCGAAAACTAGAGCATAGAGACCTCGGGCCCGACGAGCTTGAGAACGGCCGGAAGGCTCCGCCACCTCCCCAGTTAAATGGTAACCGTGCTGCCTCGCTAGCTGCTGTAGTGCAGCCGTCAGTACCGCCGATGACACCGCACCGTAAACGTGTCCGACACGACAGGCCGCCGATCTGGGCGCAGAGTGGTAGAGACCGCGATCAACCCAAAATAGCGAGCCGGAATTTTGCTCTGAAACATTACATTCGCCAGCAGACCAACGCGACAGGGCTAGCCAACGGAAACAATCAGCACGATGCCGGCGGACATGTGAAGTCTGATCATATTTCTCGACACGCCTCGCCCGAAGCAGTGCGATCTGTAGCTGTCGTTAAAGCAGAAGAGCCTACCCCTACGGTTGCGAAGGATCCCTTTATATTCAATGGCCAACCGTTTCCATGGGAGCCTAGCATTGGGAATGAGACACCAAAGAATATTGTATGTCGCGAGGTCGCTGACTTTTTAGGCATCAACGTGCTTCAATTCCCCCATCTCGAAGAAATCCATAGCCGGGGCGCGGTGTTCGAGATCGAAGCTAAGCTGGGTACTATTATCGACAAGATGACCAATGACCGCATCTACTTTCCCGGAATAAGGGCCGGTGAGTGTGTGCTGGACAGTACCAGGGTTGCTTTTCGTAGCTCTATGACCGAGGTAAGTTGTTTTTTCTGTTCGTCTCATCTTGTTGACTTGTTAATTGACTCCTTCGACAGAACCAGCATCGCGAGCTCAATGAATTCTTGAACGAGCAGGTGAAGGCCTCTTTCCCTCGCAGCCATGCTGCAGCTTCTCGTGTACAAGTACACTACGTACATCGCCGAGAGGTTGATCGATTTTACGAACTCGCGCCCCATATGCGTCAACGTGTACCGGCTTGCATTTCTGGCCTGCTGCAGCAAGGCGCGCCTATAAAAGCTCGCGTCACCACCCACGAACAAAACGCCAATAATATTTTAGCCAAGATCGTAAAGGCTCGAATTGCCGATTTAAATATACATTTCCCTCACTTGCCTCTAGATTGCCGCATAAGTATCAATCTAGAGTGGGACTGGGACGGCCCGGTCGAAGAGATCGAGCGCGGCCAGAACCCCAACAAGGAGCGACCCCCCGACCGTATTAAGGATCGACTCAGTTATAAGCATGGTTTCTACCAGATCGATTTAACACAGGTGAAGCAGGGACCCGCGACCTCGGGTAGCCAACCCTGTCAAGCGCCTGCCGGTGCTGCAAAGGAGCATGAGCTCGAGGTAGAATTAGAGGCGCGTCCTCTAATTGAACATGGCCGTATGCTCATGCAGAGGAAACCGAATAGGTACGAAGATCTAGTCGACGGTCTCGTTAATAACGTACGTCTCTTAGCGCGACGGTGTCCACCGCCGCATCATCATAATCAATCTTAGGTATGGCAGAAGGGACTTGTGCATAAATGCCTCTTAGTTAGGAATGAGGCGTGTCCACCATTAACTTAGGTACCTTTCTTTTACATAACTTACGAGTTGGAAGTGGTTGTATTATTCTACTTTGTCTATTTTTTAAGGCTAGTAGGAAATGCTCTAGGCTACACGAATGCCTTCTTGTTTCCCTTTTTTCAGAACATGATACCAATTCAAGGCTGGGCATCGGGGATCAGACTGGGGTCATATAGACCAGTAACACTGATATCGCGGCGTGTTGAATTGAAAGGGGAGGTGCTCTGTTTACTATTATGCCCAAGAACTAACGTATTAAAATAGAACCGCAAGGGTTTGCTGAGGTTAATGCGTTGCTTGAAGTTGAAGTGATGCCGTCACTCTCATCGCTCTGGTGAGGCTTGTAGATCGGTGTCCTTGAAATAAGTAGCATATGTCTCAGTTATAGACGATTCGATATATGAATTAAGAAACTGGATGTCGAATTAATGCTAAATGGCACAATATGAGTTACTTAAGTTACTTAGCGATATAGAAATTTGAATCTACACACCCTATTGAGTACATAACCTAGGTACCTAGAGTTCAACATAATCGGTACCGAATGATATATCACGCGGAGACACTACGCAGAGACAACTTGCGAATTAGAATACTAGGTACCTATTCATTAACACATTTATTATCGAAGGGCTAACTATACACTCAGAGGAAGATTGCCAGTTAGCTATTCTGGATCGGGTCAACCCCCTTTCTCAAAGACAAAAGAAAATCCAAGCCGTATACCCAAGCCGTAAAGATCGAATACGCTTCTATTCTTGTACATCTCATCCTCTCTAATCGACACATGCATATCCAGCTCAATTCTATTAGCCTCTTCCCGCTGGATGATAAATGATAGCTACCTCTTTAATTCTTGCCCTTGCCGAAGGAACCTTTCCCCCGAGTCTCGGGCCTGGCTAAAGGTGACCAGATGCGGACCGCTTGGAGCGTGGTACACTGGATGATGTAGATGGTTTCGTAAACGGCGGCTGGGAACCCCGTCCAAACTTTCGGGCAAGCTCGTTCATCTCGTTGTAGATAGAAGGGACCGAGATGACGGGATCCCAATCGGGTATCTGAATACGTTTCTTATCCGGCTGAGGAGATTCGAGCGGTTGCGGCGTGAGCCACGGGACGTAGTCAATGCCATGGGGCGAAGGGGGGTCAAGGTTAGTGGGAATAGGGCCGGGTTTGACTGCTGGAGGCGGTGGCCCGACGCGCCTCTTAACAGATGGCCATGTGGTACGGTCCCCAGCGTCAAAAGGCGGCTTTATCGGTCTGGGACGCTTTTTAGACTTCCCCGAGGGGTCTATTTCTAATTCTTGAATAGGGTCTTCCACAGCACTTCTCTCCGAATATTCCTCCTCAATTTCGTCTTCTGTCTCAGCCGGTTGCTTGGTCGGATCGTACTCTTCGTCTAGTTCCTCTGATTCCTCTGATTCGCTTGGGGAGCTGCTGTCATCCTCTTCCGTCGACAGCAGGATGTGGTCTCCGGGTGGGGGTGTGATCACATATTTACGACGATTCTTTTCTTTGGTATCGGCTATTTTTCCTTTTTCGCCAAGCTCTTCAGTAGCTTTACTTTCGCCAAGCTCTTCAATAGCTTTACTTTCGCCAAGCTCTTCAATAGCTTTACTTTCGTCAAGCTCTTCAATAATTTTACTATCGTCTTTGTTTACTTCCTCTAATTCCTCGTTCACTACGGGTACGACGCTCTCAACCTTCGACGGATGCGGTTCCGGTTCGCTCAGCGGCGGCCATGGTAGCTTGTCGCTCTGAGTCTCTAGGTACTTCGGTCCTCTGGAGTTCGGGTCGTCTTCGATAGAACCGATTGCTTTTTCCAGGGTGTAAGGGTCTTCCCAGACCGACTTGATGCTCTCTTCGCGCACCGGGAACATAGTATATTGATATGCCGGATATTCGCTGACAAACTTGTAATACGCCGTCCTAAAGTCAAATTTCTCGTCGGGGAGGATCCATCCGCTACGGTTAGGCATGGGGCCGTATCTTGTCGTGCCCAAGGTGCGACGAATCCTACAAGACCCTTTCTCGTACATGTGCATCTATCACGATTTCAGTGTGAGCTTACGTCTCGCCAACCTTAAGTGTGTCGGGTCGTATACTTACCTCTATCTGATCCATGCTTCTTCCTGCAGCCCTGAAGCATCGGGAACATCTCCAGTCGGCTTCCGGATAGAACGACCAGGGTTCCGACTGCGGTTCGAGAAATTCATCCCATGGAGGAGAGCGGGATCGTCGAGATGGGAGTGGATCCGATGTTGTTGCTTCTCTCCACGGCACAGTCTGTTCCGCCGGTACGGTCTGTTCCGCCGGTACGGTCTGTTCCACCGGTTCGGGCTGTTCCGCCGGTTCGGGCTCAATAGGAGGCTTATCTTGACCTAGGACATTAAGAATGTCATCGAGATTTTTAGATGGCGCCGGATTAATAGGATCTTGTTGCGGCGGGGGGGTTTGTTCTGGTTCGCTCGGAACAGACTCGCTTTCTTCAGACTCACTTTCTTCAGACTCACTTTCTTCAGACTCAGAGGGAAGAGCGGCATCAGTGTCATCAGGAGGAGGGTTGACAATATTGTCATGGATAGGAGGTGTAGGGATATTTGAAAACACTTTAGGACCCAAGGGATCAGTGTGTTTATTGTGTGGTGGTGGTGATGATCCGGTACATATGGACATATGCGACGACTTTTCACTCTCTTTCTTGTCGGCGAGACCTATACCGCAGCCGGGACAGAAATCGTTTAATCTGCCGCCAGGTAGCCTACAGTGGTGACGGTGTTGGTCACGGTAAGACGGATTCATGGTCGAATCGTATTCGATACCACAGGTTATACAGTTTACCATATCGTCCTTCGTCGACTCCTCGTTCATAAACTTGGCGCATTCGCAACTTTCCGACGCGTTTTCCTTGGTACGTCCACAGAACCCGCAGAATACCGCATGACTGCGCGGGCCAACCTTGCATACACTACCATGGTATGCTTGGTCGGTTGGGTTGTTCAGGACTGTCTGATCACGCCCGCATCGGTTGCAATGTCTGGATTTCCCTGTACCGTGCTCCTGGTCCCCGGAGACCCCGCCAAGCTCCTCCTTAATGCTATTGTAGTGTTTGTCAAGAAAGTGCTGCCTTATACTTTGGGTATCATAGAACCGGAGTAGATGCTTTTCTTTGTCACATAAGAAACACTGGAGAGTAGTGTGATCCTCTCGCAAGTGTCGATCGAGCTTACTTCCATCTTGGAAGCGGAAAATCCGCCCGCAGTCTTTATAAGGGCATTCCCTAACTCTGTCGAGAAGATTTCCTCGTAGCGTGTGGACTTCTCTTTCGAGTCGGGCCACTTCACTAGGAGTCCGCATTGCGGTAGTAAACGCCGGCACGTTGGGCCCCGTCCTGATGAGAGTCTCAATAGGCGGACCCTGAAGCGGTAATGCGGGCTTAGTCGGATTGGCGAACATGCTTGTGCTATCCCAGAATAGCCTTTCTCTCAGCTTCTGTGCCCTCATGGCACCATCTAAATTGTTCTTTGATCCTTTAAACAATCGCTTTACAGGAGGATCATACGGCGCAAAATGCTTGTTCATCGAATCGAATTTCGATGTTAGCGTGAAGGGCTCTGTAGTGTCGTAGCGTGGTCCCCATGCAGATCCCTTTTCCACGGCTTTTATTCTGTATGTTAGCTATTATTTTACTCTCGAAAATGGCCAGTTGGAAACTCACCCCAGTCGTTGACCGAATACTCGAGGGATATGGTTATTTCTGGTTCCGTGATATGTCTCACAATCCATTCCCATCCGTTCTCGTCCGTATTTGCACTGACAGCGAAGTCGATTTTGTTGGTTGACCAAGTTGACTGAACTAGATGTAGAACTAGGTTCTTCGACGTTACTTGATATCTAGGGAAGAGGTTAGACTTGACCTCTTCCTTAAATTCTGATAGTCTTAGATCATTGAGATCGACTGAAAAATGGCGTTTAGAATCGTTCTTCGCACTAATCGTGTAAGTGCTGAAAACAGGTCGAGCTACGATGCTTATCTTTCCAGGTATGGCATGAATTCTTGGCCCTTGATAACTGCGCACGGCAGCCTTCCAATTATATATTGTCTGCTCATTGATCTCGGTACCCACGAGATTGATGAATCGGCCGGGAAGCGAGGAGTTCAAGAATTCATCTCCCGGAATCCAGACTTTGATGCCAATCTTTTTCTTGTGACTGATCGCGAATGGGTTGGCAGCGTTCACCGCGCTAATCAGCTTCGACAACCCTACCTTGTCGTTATCCCCTCCGCCTAATTTAAGATCGTCTCTGCTTAAGGAGGTTACCGGTAGTTTGCCCGAGAAGTCGGTGTCGTAGGAGTGGAACCCCGGTATGAAAACCGGTATGGCATCGTCTGGTACGTCAATTCGGCTGAAGCGTAGAAGAGGTAAGTTGTCCTTATCTGCATGATCTTGGACAACCTGATTCCAGACTACGGGAGGTGGGTCGAGCAGTCCGTACGTTACGTCTGTACCGCCCGCCGGGAAATTGAAATAAGCGTGAGGAAGTTTTGGGAAGAGTACCCGCATGGCGCGCAAGTATTCATAGCTGAATTGATTCGGTTTGTGTGTTGACATTAGAGACTTTGGAACTTTCATATATGCCATGTTCTTTTGATCGCCATCCCACACACGAACGATGTATTGATCGACTTCGGCAGATGGGTGGTAGCATTCTGGAGATTTTTCCTTGTCGAAGAATACAAAGCCACAGTACCGCCCACCCTTATTTTCTCGGCTGAATAATTTCTCAACTAATGAATATATACTGTCGACGCCGCTGGGTCTCTTATTATCTTGGTAGATCATGCCTGTTGCTTGAGTGACAGGCTCGGTGTGGGAGCCATTTTGATCCCATATCTGAAGAGTTATGGAATAATTGTATTTGTATCTCATTCCTAGGAGCTGGTCTACGGCCTCGACAAAACTTTCGTATGCCGAAGAGGAGACTTTGACTAGAATCGACCCTTGGTATCCAAAAATCCTTACAGAACTAGTGTCTGGATTGGGAATAGAGGTGGCATCACCCTCCGGTTCCCAGTCCATTTTCGAGGGCAACGCGCCGCCGCGTAGTCTCAACGCCGATAAGTCCGTATATGGCTGAGGGCGGATACGTAAAGACGTAAACTCCTGCGTAGCGGGAAGCTGAAGAAAATGTCGATCGGAAACATGCTTGTGAGGGTCGCCGTATGCTCTCTCGGCGTAATCGTTTAGGAACCCTAGAGGGTCAGTCGCGATCTGGACCTTGTCCTCTAAAAAGTCTAGGTCTGTAATCACTAGCTTTTGAGACGACCCGGGCTTCATTGGAGCAACTGGTAACCCGAAGTACAGCAAAGTTAACTTGAGTTGTAACGTAGGGGCGTTCCCTTTGAAGCGGGTGTCTAGTATCTGTTGATAGCGAATGGAGTTTGCTTTCTGTAGCTTAATAAGTTCTGGCGGATGGCTGGCTGGCTCGAGGATGCCAATCTCGTGAGGCTCAAATGTATTATCAAGTATTTCCTGAAGAGTAAGATTGGTATTCCGGAGTAATGTAAAGAAGTACCGTTCTACCCTCATAAAATCCGGATGGTTTCTATCGATGACAGGATTGGCTCGAAGTTCGAAAGGCACTCTAGCTGCCAAGCCGCTTGACTGAAAGACCGGCGGAGTGCGTTGGAAGTAGTCTTTTGGCTGAGGTACTGGCTGAGGTACTGTCTGCGGGACTGGAGGCTGAGGTGGTTGTTCAGGTTGTTTTTCAAGTGGTTGAGGTGGTTGCTGATATACAGCGGTGGTGGTGTAACTCTGCATGGTGACAACACGCAAGATCACACTTTACAGAAGAAGGCGTTGGGGGCTAGTTGCCCGTTTGAATAACAGCTGGATACCGACTGCGAGATTATTATCACGACATTTGGTATAGCTTAACGTATCGCAATATGGTGTAAAAGCGTACCTCAGGGCGTGATAGAAGAATTAAGCGACGAGAGAAGAAGGAAAAGATTGATTTGCTATCTGGAGAGGACAAAGATGGTCCTATTAGCCATGTAAATCCTAACCAAGTATCCTATTCTGGTCGTGTGAGGACTGAACTAGCATTCCAGCTTTTCGATGCATTGAGAAGAAAAGAATTTCGGAGACGAACGCATTCCATTCCACCTCTTTTCGGCCATCGAACCCACTCCTCATATGGACTCGACGAGAAGACAAAAGATGTAGACAATGCTTTAGCTTTGTTCGGTTGGTATATATTTGAAGGCCTTTCATATTTGGTAGTACGAAGAAATCAGGAACCATTTCCGGATGCGTCGATACTTGGCCATGTCTCAGGAAAAAGGTCACAGAAGGGACAATTCCAGGTTACTTATAACACTGTAGGTGAATAGGTAAATTCCAGAACATTAATTTAGCCACGAGTGTACGTTTTTGACACAACTAGTAATTCTACGACCTAAATTAGGATGCAAACCTATCTACCTCTTGGTACCTTATATTGCGTCTTCAATGTAAAGCCACTTGGTTGGGTGTAAAACAGTTGGGCTCGGGAATAACTTATATTAACTTTATATATACCTACCTTACCCTAGATCGTTCAAAGAATCTCCTTCAGGTACTCTTGAAACTGACCATTAGTCGAGTACTCGAGTTCGCTGTGCTCTACGCATTTACATGCAGTGGAATACTTAAACTGCATGCAAAGGAAGTAGGCCGCATTCCACCGTATTGTACAATGTTCTATTTTTAGTGTAGTCCTCGATTGGTCCCTTCTCGCCCTAAACATCTACGTTGAAATTATATCCATTGTCACTCTTTAGTAAATAGTGTCAGGCTTGATGTCGTTAGATCCACAGGCGGATGTCGGCCGAGGGGTCCAGACGAGCTAATCCGGGGTTAATACAACCGAGCTTCCACCTACCTAACCTAGGTTAATCGTAAGTGAGCTTATTGGGAACAGGAATAATTATGACGAGAGGGTAAGAGCTCATGATATATCAACTGTCTCCTTTAAGCATAATTATAACTATCTTATATCTTATCGAGTTTCGTCTTGAGACTACCAGCTGGTCGTGTGTTTCCACTGGACATATCTCCGTGATTTAAATGGTCTGCTATTAGCAAATGATCTTTTTTTACGTATAGAAAGTAGTTTCCCCCCACCTCATCCGAGATCGCTGGTCCGTATATGCAAGTATAAAACTTATTCTGGAGTATCTGAGCCGAGGATGGGTGGTAGTTAATAAAACATTTAGTAGCTAACCTAAGTATGGAGCGGGGAGACTGTGCTCCCCAATCATTATTCCTTTATACTATAAGAATCGGTCGGTTAAACCTGATATCAATAACTGCTGCTGTTGACTGCCGCTAGACAGAGTGAAAGAAAGATGGGATCGTCGGAGAGCTTGCTCGATGTACTGCGATCATACAGTGCGGTGGATTGCGATACTTTTGATATTGAAGGTGAGTGATCATCCGATAGCTAGGGGCGAGCTGTATGAGAAGGCAGCTAGAAGCTCACCAGCGCAGTGCCAAAGCAGCTTGGTCCGTTCGTGGATTGTACGTCAAATCAGGCAAGCCAGCTCAAGATCAACTCCTCACAAGGCGCAAATGGCTAAAAGCATACAAGGCAATCGCATACCACGAATTGATACGTCTTAATGAAGATGGAAAGCCTCTACACGCCGGGCTGATTCGAGATGCCATCGACTATGCGTCGGCGAAACGTTCGTCGTACCCGGACGTGGCCGTAACGGAGCTGGCGGTAGAGACTATGATGGTGAAACTGGCTTTGAGAATAGTACCTTACTTGAAGGGATATTCTCATATACAGACAAATCCTAAGTACTCTTACAATAAGCAGAAGACAATTGAGAATGCGAAACGTATGTGAGCATCCTGGACGTGATAGAGGTGGCATGGAACTGTAGTCGTCGGATTGCTAATGGAAACGATGTCAGGCATCGTGGCGATATTTAAGGATCTGGACCCAGGGTACGACACCCAGAGGGTTTGCATTAAGATACCATCCACCTGGGAAGGATTACAAGCATGTCGCGAATTGGAAAACCAAGGCATTTCCACATTGGCAACAACCATGTTCTGTCTCGAACAGGCTGCCTTGGCGGCTCATGTGGGCTGTACCTACATCGCACCGTACATCAATGAGCTGCGAGTGCACTTTGACGAGAAGTATATATTACCCGGTAGCACTAGGTGAGTGTAGAAGCTAATCTGGGCGCGACATCTAGTTACGTCGACCAGCATAAAGCCTTCGACTTCTGCGGCTCTGCTCAGCGATACTACGAGAAGATCGGGAGCAAGACCCAGGTTCTACCCGCTAGCTTGACGTCCATCCAGGAAGTCATGAAGCTCGCGGGTGCTCATCATATCACCGTCGCGCCGCATCTGTTGACCAAGTTAGCGGAGACGCCGGCTAACCCGTGGGAAGGCGAAACTGGGAGTGTTTTTAAGGGTAAAGCAGAGGAAGAAGTGGGCGATTATAGCGGTATAGTGGAGGACGAGAGTGCTTGGCGCTTAGCTTTCACTCGGAGCCAGGAGGGTAAAGGTGAAGTCAAGATTATTCAAGCTATCAACATATTCTGTGATAAGCAGGATGGTCTGGAAGCTCTAACACGGCGATGAAGGCCTCCTACATACATGATATCACAGATATCTAAGGGTTGTACTACATGTAGGTAGCATCGATAGTAATAGGTAATGAGATGACAAGTTCTGTTCATCTCTGATGGATAAAGTGCAATTGGGAACTCGATCTTAGGTATTTGTGACACGGGCCAGAAATTGATCCCTGTTATCTTGCCGCGGCATTCTTCCCAGACATTCCAGGGATTTATACAGGAGGTACCTAGGTACGTAGGATTCATGTTGGCGCTCATGCATCTAGGTACACAAACGACACAAACGCGTAACTTCGTCGCTTGCTACACTTTTGTGTTACATTTATGTCTATGGGGTTGAAGCTTGAAGAATGCTATATTCATTCTCGCGCGGATAAAAGATGAAAATATATGGAATGGACTCCGGCGGCCTTTTCTAAAATATAGTCTTTAGCAGTTATCATAATATTTGCTAAGGATGGATGGTCAGGCGTAGCCTGAACAAACTAACTCCTTTTCAGCTTGCACCATGTCCATGGTTCGGATATGTGAGTCGGGAGAGGCTGATAAGGAACTCGTTCCTTATTGGATTCCAGGATGATCTTCCAGGATGACTGGGAAGCTATCTTGCATCTTGCAGCTTTCTTATCTGACATCGTTCCGTATCACCACGATGACGATGCTCCAGGTATATATTTACGATGTTATAGGGTTACCTCGAGTAATTCACGTGCAGCTACCTGAAATAAGTTTACCTTTGACGGGGCTGCTGGTTTGCGTCTCCTGCTCTAAGAGCCGATTGCCATCTTGAAAGCACCAAATTCCGTCAAGATGGCTGTTTCCTCAAGGAAGCTGTCGGCCGCTGAGCTCAAGAGGAGGCTTACCTCCCTCCACTCTTGGGAACTCCCTAAGCAGACCGGCGCGCTGGCCCCGTCGCACGTATGGACGAATCGCGATATGGGTAGAGTTGCCCTGTCTAGAATATTCCGCGTTAAATAGGTACTAATGCGGACTGATTAGATCCAACGCCCGTCGAGGATCAGACGTGGAATACGTGGACGATTTTGGCCTACTGGGCTACCGACACGATTAACTTGGCTACATGGCAGACGGCCTCTGCAATCCTCGCGGTGGGACTGAGTTGGCGTGAAGCCATTCCTATCATGATAGTAGGAACCTTCTGCGTTGCTGTACCTCTTGTGCTTAACGGCGCCATTGGTGCTAAACTTCATGTGCCTTTCTCCGTGATTGCGACTAGTAGCTTCGGTTACTACCTAAGATACTTCTGCATCGTCAGCCGGGCCATTCTAGCTATGTTTTGGCTGGGTATACAGGTAAAGAAGCTAGAGAGGACGGTCCTCGACTGGAATGCATTGCAGGTTAACATGGACATTTAGGGCGCAAACGGAGCTCAGTGCATCACGATTATGCTGCGTGCCTGGGCGCCGTCGTACAACGACATTCCGAACCAGCTATCCCAGACTGCCGGCATCACCACGCAAGGGATGCTTTCTTATTTCCTCTTCTGGGTAATTCAACTACCACTGCTCCTCATCCACCCTACCAAGTTACGTCCGCTGTTCTGGGTTAAATTGTTGGCCGCTCCGGTAGCTGCCATTGCAACGATGGGGTGGTGTATCAAGAGGGCTGGAGGGGGCGGTGACATCTTTGCCTTGCGAGCGACGGCTGACGAACAACAATACGTTTGGTTATGGCTAACTTGCATGTCGAGCGTGGCAGGTCAATGGAGCACTTTGGCTGTAAACATACCTGATTTCACTCGCTACGCGAAGTCGGCTAGGGGCCAATACATCCAACTCCCAGCGATGCCCATTATATTTACTTTGTGTGGCGTTCTAGGTATTGTAACAACGTCTGCGAGCAAAGTATTTAGTGGAGACTACCTCTGGAACCCTTTGGATATCATAGCCATTTGGCTCGACTATGGCTCTGGTGGACGATGTGCCGCCTTCTTTGCCGCCCTCGCGTGGTATATTGCACAGGTATGTTATAACACCGAAGGTTATATAGTTCATAAGGGGCTCTTCGTAATAAGATGATGTGGAGTAGGTTGGAACGAATATCACCGCGAATTCGATCTCGGCGGCCAACGACCTAACCGTTCTTTTACCTCGCTGGATTAATATTAGGCGAGGCTGCATTATCGCTGCGCTTGTCGGTGGTTGGGTGCTGGTGCCGTGGAAGATCCTCAGTTCTGCGCAAACCTTCCTCGCCTTCATGAGCGGGTATGCCGTCTTCCTCGGGCCGATGGCTGGCATCATGGCGTCTGACTACTGGCTTGTCAAGAAGATGCAGATCGACATACCGAGCTTGTATGATCCGCATGGTCGTTACCGCTATGTTGGCGGATGTAACTGGCGCGCGGCGGTCGCCTTCATCGTGCCCGTCGCGTCTCTTCTCCCCGGCCTAGGCCTGAGCATCAGCGGCCCCCAAGTTGTTCATATTAACGATGGCGTTACTAACCTCTACACCCTTAATTTCCTATTCGGGTTCGTAACTTCGATCGTTCTTTACACGGCACTAAGCTACGCTGTACCGGCGAAAGAAACATTACTAAAGGATATGATTTGGGATCTAGACGACACCATTATCGAGGCACATGTGCGGGATGATGCGGGAGCCGAGAAATGTTCGGGTACCGCTTCATCCGAGAAGACTAAGAAGTCTAATGAAAAACCGTTGTAAAACTGTTGAATTCGACATATGTGGGTATGTTGGGTATGTTGGGCTACAGATATATGACCAACTATCTTGCATATTGATCTAAATAAGCCCCCTTATCTAACCTTTCCAAAATGAGACGTCGCTGGATTTCGAAGGTATTCCAATAAACGAGAATAAAAGGATCCATCTTTCGAGTATCCCTTTTTTTCAACGCAGACACATACAACTTGAGATATTACGTGTATGCTTAAGATAACGGCGACGGCTAGCTGACAAGTCAACGACTTTTGTGGTGTTTTGTAAGCAGTGTTTGAATCTCTCCGACGTGAGTCATGATGGAGTGGTTTTTATCCCGTTGACAAATGCGAAATTCCAAGGGGAAGGGGGGTATCCGGCGATCTCTTATTTCCGGATCAGGTTGGCATAGTGGATGTAAGTATGCTAACGGGATACGCTCTTATCCCCGGTGCTCGAGGAACAATACCTTGCGGGCATATGTAATACATCATAGCGGCTTTAATGACACGATTTTAGGAGGTCGATTTTGCAGATCATAGGTTCACGGACAGAACGGAATTATCAACCCCGTTGATCTACATAGCAATTTTGATTGATAAGATCTGGAAGTTATTCTTGGTTCTTAGGAGATGGCAGGATGGGCACCGGTGATAACACCTGACATGAAATCTCACATCGGCTACCCAAGGTTGACGCAATGTTGTCATCCTCGTCTCAATGCTACGCTACCTATCTTGTACATAGCATCGCTTTTAACACTAAACGCGAGCTTTCAGCTTGCTTAACCCATTGCATTTTTCTTTATCATTCTCCTCAATCCTCTCCAATTGTCTACCAATATGTCTTATTCAAATACTTTATGCCTCAGATATCTGAGAGTAGAATTAGGTATAGACTAATATGGGACAGCTTATTCGTATCCTGTCGCGGGCTACGGCGAAGCCATATAAGACTGCTGAGCTGGAATTCGAAGAACGCCCGTACCTAAATGATAATGGACATGTCGATTTTAAACCCGACGATATCGAGAACCCGCATAACTGGTCTAACCCTAGGCGTTGGTACGTGACAATATGCTCGGTTCTACTTGTTGTGAATGCTACCTTCGCATCGTCAGCTCCTTCTGGTTGTTTTGGTGTAAGTCTTGTTTTCTTTCAGTCATCTTTATAGCATGGCTTTAGTATAACTGACGCAACGCACTGCAGAGCATATCTAAAGAGTTTAACGTTTCGGAAGAGGCGGCTGGACTCACTATAACACTTTTCCTCTTAGGTTATTGTGCAGGTCCTCTCGTCTTTGCTCCCCTATCGGAGGTATGACATCCCAAGGTATTACCCCTAAGAGTGAATAAAGGGCTAAACGAAGCGATTTAAATAGTTCTACGGAAGAAGATGGATTTTCTATAGTACCTTCTTGCTGTATATCGCATTTAATTTCCTCTGTGCTTTCGCGCCCAACTTTGGGAGCTTGCTTGTCGGCAGATTCCTTACAGGCACGTTCGTGAGCGCTCCGCTCAGCAATAGCCCGGGTGTGCTTGCGGATCTATGGGGCCCCGTTGAGCGTGGATTTACGATGGCTGTTTTCTCATGCAGTATGTAACGTTCAAATACCTTTTCCTTTCTAATATGATTCGGAAGTTAAAGCGTCTTGACTGGGATGGGGGAGTTGTCGTGGCTAATGGCTAATGGCTAATGGTATCGTAGTGGTTTGGGTAGGACCGGCTCTTGGACCAGTTGTCGGAGGCTTTCTTGAGCTTACGAAGAACTGGAGGTGGAGTTTTTACGTCTTGCTATGGCTCGGCGGCGCTACAGCGATACCTATGTTTACCATCCCCGAGACCTTCGGCCCTATGATATTGGTCCATCGAGCTCGTCGCATAAGAAAGGCTAAGATCCCGGGATACGAAAATGTTAAGGCCCCGGTTGAGGAGGGCGATCGCTCATTATTAGGGATCTATCGCGTGGCTCTCACGAGGCCGTGGATTATCCTTTTTGATCCCATCTCCTTCTTATGTGCCATATACATGTCTGTCGTGTACATGTTGCTCTACATGTTATTCACCATATACCCAATAGTCTTCCAGCAGAGACGAGGGTGGAACGCTGGGGTCGGCGAGCTCCCCTTGATTGGAACCGTGATCGGGTCCTTCATCGGTGCTATCGTCGTCTTCTTCGATTCCAAACATAAGACCAAAAAGATGCAGAACGGGATACCCCTAAAACCAGAGGACAGGTTAACTTTGGCTCTCATTGGCGGCGTTCTTTTTCCAGCTACCATGTTTTGGTTCGCATGGACCGCTGAGTTCAAGTAAGGCAAACTGCACATGATTAATATTACCTAGAGCAAGACTAACAGAATTTGCAGTTCTATTCATTGGATAGTCCCAACGATAGCTGGAGTATTCTTGGCAACCTCGCTCATGCTTATATTTGTCGGGTATTTGAATTATCTAGTCGACTCCTATTTGATGTACGCCGCGTCGGCTATCGCGGTTAATACTGTTTGTCGTTCGGCTTGCGGTGCTGCGGCACCATTGTTCACAAACTATATGTTCGAAGCGCTCGGCATTGGAGGTGGAGGCTCCTTAATCGGCGGTGTCGCGACGTTGTTAGCAGCGATTCCATTCGCCTTCTATAAGTATGGCGAACGTATCCGTGCCCGCTCGAGGTTTGCACCCACCGGCCCCAAGAAGCCCGACGATGAGGAGGCGCAGCGAATCGAAGGAGAGAAGTCCGTAGCGCCTAGTACGGACCTTTCGCCGCAGTTATTAGAATCGTCTAGTACGATGACGGATGAGGAGGTGAATGAGACAGAGGTCGAGAAAAAGGAAAACCGTGACGACGTCCAGAATGTGTTGGGAGAGTCGAGAGATGAGAATAAAGCGTTTGGGAGACAATAGAGCACCTATGCTTACCTATTTAAAGGCCACCAAGACGGATGATTTATTGCATTAGCGTTCTGGAATCTAGATGATGCCACGGATATCTTAAAGCAAGGCATTGTAATTGCGTTTATAGATTTTAGCTAGGTTCGGCACCTGAGGTACCTATATAACTCATATTACAGGATGATTCTTTAACCCTTAGTCATTTACAAAGCATAACTTCATAATATCTTTATATTTTGTTCACATTGTCTGCTGTATTTGGACAGTTGTGCCATAGAATAAGAGGATAGTAAGACTGGTATGTCTTAATTTCGAGCATCGCTAGCCGTATATCCCCGGGTCCTGTTTGGAGATATTCAATAGCGAATTCTTTATAAATCTATCGAAGAAATATGTTATATCAAATATAGTTCGGGCGTATGAGTTGAATCTGTATGCGCGTAAGACCTCGATTATTATTTAGCGTATGCGGATTCCACTGCATTATCTCGGCACTTTGAAATATTATCATAAAGGTAGCTATTGACTAGGATAGGTGTAAAATACCGAGCTCTATACTGACCAGGAGTTTTGCCGCAGTCTGCATATAATATTGGGCTCGCTCGCTTAAGATTAATAGTTGTTGTCCGGGTCCTACTATTAGTCGGCAGGCCTCCTCGCCGTCCAGCTTCGAAGCATAAAGCCGTTTCGTATTGGGGAAGTTATATGAGCCATATAGCAAGTTGTTTAAAATAATATTACGGTTGAGTTCGCTCAATATCAACACTACGACGCCGTTTCGCGAACTCCGCGCGGCCTTGCGAATAAACCGGATTCTAACCATCGAAGCAGATCACAAGTCCCGATAGCGTAATATTTCATAATTATAATATGGTCTGGTCTATAAAGATTCTCATAATCCAGAATTTCCCAACAATTCGTGAAGCGAATAATGGGGCTCGTCGCTTATTGTTCCTATTATGAACACCCCGTGTTACGGTAATTTATGTACGAGACTTCCGCGGGAATTCTGGTTCCCTACGTTTCCTACGTGTCGTGGAGCTATCGGAGATACTTCTGCGCCCATGGAGATTCAAAATTACTTAGATAGCTTCTATAGAGCTGCCACAGCTCTAGGCCATCTGCATGTAACCCTACATCTACCTACGTACCTACCTCCTAGGTATTCCTTGAGAAATAAATAACTGGATTGCTACCGAATGTAAATAACTATGGATCCATCACAGCACAGAAGTTACACTGTCTATAAATCATTACACAAGGGATCAAGACTGATTATACGGGAGGAATTACCTCTTCGAACTCTTAGTCTATCCACCATGCCAACTCACGCCCGTCTTTTGCCTCTGGATAAGCGAGCACTTGTTGATAGTACGACTCAACCATTTCCCTTCACCACTAAGGTTGATGCTAAGCACACTTAGAGTATTATAATCACCTATGCTTACTATACCTGAGTTGCATTGCGTGAATGAGGCCATATAGCGGACGGAGTCGCAATATGATTGTGCACAGTTGCTACGACACAGTTGGAGCTACTAAATGGGGACTCACCAATGCTACTCAGAATGATAACCCGACATATCCTCCGCTATTCTTATCTAAACCCCTCTGGAGACTATCATCGGCATATTAAATGGGTATGCTCCAATCTCGGAGGCCATGAAGTTTACGTCTTCTTGAAGATGCCAGTGGCCCAAGTAAGTGGCCTCGTCTGAGTCCTACGAACCTACGAAGAGCTAAGTAAAGCAGCGGTGCTCTTCTATCTAAAATGGCAGTTATTAATGAGCCGGCGGACCCCTTAGCAAAAGGCATATTCGCAACGGCGAAGCAATCATGGGGCGATCTCTTCCGATGGAAACAAAGGGTCGTTGTTACGAACGAGCTGGGCGAATCTCACACAGAATGGCAGTCCCCCGAGAAGCTTAGAAATCCCATCTCGCTTTTGATGCTTTTAAGCGCGAGGAATTGGATTTACTTCCTTGTAGGTCTATTCGCTTGGACTGCTGATGCCTTCGATTTCCACGCCTTGGCCATCCAAACCGTCAAGCTATCGCACTACTACGAGCGTAGCAAGACTGATATCACTACCGCTATCACCTTGACACTGCTTTTGAGGTCTGTCGGTGCTGCCGTATTTGGTCTCCTTGGCGATCGGTTTGGTCGAAAATGGCCAATGGTCGGCAACTTGATTTTTCTCGGTAAGGTTCTAGCCCCTTAATCCATTTTGAGGGGCTGACATTCTGATCACTTAGGTCTCTTGCAAATTGCGACTATCTACAGCGCCACGTTTCAGCAGTTCCTTGCTGTGCGATCTCTTTTCGGTTTGTTTATGGGGGGAGTGTATGGCAACGCCGTAGCCATGGCTCTTGAGAACTGCCCGTATGATATAGGACTTTTCGCATCTTCGGGTATATAATACTAACAGATCATCCAACAGGACAGAATCGCGTGGCCTAATGAGTGGTATCCTACAACAAGGTTACGCTCTTGGGTATGTTCTTGCTGCGTGCGCGAACCTAGGTGTTGGCGCTGGCACAGATACCTGGAAGACAGTCTTCTGGATTGCGTCTGGCCTTTCCATCGGCGCTGGCCTCCTACGCTGTTTATTCCCAGAGTCCAAACAGTTTAGAGAGGCCAAGGCCACCGGTCATCACATTTCAGCCCAAGACTTCTGGGTGGAAACCAAATCGATGCTCGCTAAGGAGTGGCGTATGTGCGTATACTGCGTTTTTCTGATGACGTGGTTTAATTATTACGCACATACAAGTCAGGATAGCTATACGACTTTCATGCTGGAGTCAAAGGAGCTCCCTAACGATGCTGCTACACGTGCCAGTATCCTAATGAACACGGGAGCTTGTGTTGGCGGCACGATTATCGGCTACCTCTCTCAATTCATCGGCCGTCGTAGAGCCATCGTTGGTGCCGCGCTGATCAGCTGCTGTCTTGTTCCGGCTTGGATCCTGCCCTCTGAAGAATCAGGACTCTCTGCGTCTGGATTCGCAATTCAGTTCTTTGTACAGGGGGCCTGGGGCGTAGTCCCTATTCACCTCAACGAATTGTCACCGCCTGCCTACCGATCTACCTTTCCAGGCCTCGCGTATCAGCTAGGCAACTTAGTGTCTTCGCCAGCAGCCCAGATCGTCAATGCTATTGCCGAGAACAATTTTGTTACCAGCAAGAGCGGAAAGTTAGTCGATGGATACGGCCCAACTATGGGAATTGCGCTTGCAATCGTCGCTGTAGGCATCGCAGTAACAGCTGCACTGGGTCCTGAGAAACGTGGCAGATCTTTCGAGCATGCCGGGCCTGCTGGTGCTAACATATATATCGATGTTGGGAAGGCTGTCGACAATGGATCCATTACAGGTTCTACTAAAGTTAACGATGCAGAGAAAATTGAAGTCTAGATAGAGCCGGTATTGTTTGAAATAAGTTATAGGAGCTTTTGTTCTCAGATGCAATGCATACATCTCGTTATGCAGCCAGGTCTCGAATGAACGATTCCAATAAGTATTGCAATATAAGCCCCTTAGACACATACCAAATTCTCCTTTTCGCGTGGATTGTATCTATTTTATATCCAGTCTCTTCGGCTGCCTGCTAATTGATAGTACACATTATTATATTCCATGTATGCGTACAGTCATAGGTACGGTATAATGAATAATATAGCTGAATGAGTTAGAATATTTGAGGTATCTGAGGTACCTAGTGCAACTTTACCTACCTAACCTAGGTATCATCTAAAACAAGGTACCCTACCTAAGGCAGATAGTTACCTAGGTATGTATACACCTTGGGCCTTGGACCATAGGTAATTACCTAAGCCAGAACGTCCATGATAAGGTCGATCTGGGAAGTAGCCATCTCCTGTTATATGCTCTCTCTCTTTTATCCAATACCGTACATACCTATCTATGGGCCTATCCTAACCCAACAATGTAGGTATGTACGTGAGGAAGGAGCCTGATACCTACCTACAAGTAATACATGCAGTATTCACTCTTAATTAACGCTATTAGGAACTTTATTTGCATTTAGCACTTGAAACTTTAGGTATTAACCTACCTATACCTACATATAGGTAGGCAGGTATGATAAGGTAGGTGCGCGTATCGTCTTAGGCATCCGCCATTGCAGCATTAGCCCGTAGTCACAATCGGCATCACTTCATCTATCACCGCCTTTCGAGGTATTGTTGCCTACTAAATTTCGAATCATCACTCTGCCGACTACATACTAAACTTTTCACTTCTTTCATGCAACAACACTCCCCATGCTGTGAGTTGATGTATGTTCTGCCTTATCGAAGGCATCCGAACTTCTTTGCATGTCTCTTTGTCCTTGATACGTTATGTTTTTTGATTGCTTCGTGCAAACACCGTCACGTATCCTCTTGGTTTCACGCAACTTCATAATTTCAATACCTCTAATGTACAACAAGTGTCCTGCTTAATATTTATTTCCTCGAAATTGCCTTCTCTTCTTTCTCTTGATTTCCGCCACGCCGCTCGTTTCCCCTACTAGAGTAGGCAGTCCTGCCAACAGCACAGCCAACAGTTTCCGTATAGTGGACCAACCGTTTAAAGCTGTCCCATTAGTTTCTACCTGTCATATAGACGCCTAAATTGCAACAAACCATACCCAAGATAAGACCGATACCGCTATCCAAGTATTCTAGCCATGGATTCCCAGGGATATGCAGTTGCTCGAGACGGAAGCAAGTATACATGTATGTCTTCTTCATTCAACACGTCCTATTGTATTATATACTAACATACCATTAGCCAAGTTCTTTCCTCCGAACCCTGGTTAGTAGTTCCTCAACACACCCATATGACCTTCCCTTAACCATACTCACACTCACAGCTGTCCTCAACCTGGCTAATCTCGCCAACCGGGAGCCTCTCATGCATTTGGTCCAGCAGACAATCCTGTACCATGTGCGCAATGGCAATCCACTGGTTCGGCTGTGGAAGGATGCTTACGATGCTGGATATATCGAAGGCTCGGCAGCTCCGTATTCTCAATACTTGTTAGCCGTGAGAAAGATGACTGGCAGTAAGTGTAAACATGTGTATGAACTGTCATCTAGTTATGCTTACTAACAGCATAAGGAATGCTTAATAGCGAGTTCAATCAGGAAAAGACTAAGACCACCGTCCAGGTTCAGTCTGAGATCATCAAGGCTCTTGCTGAAGAACTCTGCTATGTCGGCACCCCGACTGTAGCCGAAGTCAAGACGGAGTCTCCGAGCCCGGTCAACCTTGCTCAAGCTAGATTCAGCCCTCTCGCCCCCGAATTTTCGCCAGAGAAGTCTGCCGTGAAGTCTACTTCAGAGGAAGTACAGCATACCGTCGAATATAAGCCTAGTGATGCCCGACTAGCAAGCTTCGAAGAGCGATGCAAGAAGCGTGGACTACGAATCGCGTCGGCAAAGAAGTAGAGGTGTCATAATCACATCGTTATGTCCTGAATAAACAATGGCGATATGGAAGTGGACTACTTGATGATGAATATGAAATGTCCATTGCTATTAGCTTTTTGAGACTGGTCGTACTTGTAGATAGCTACTGCCTTAAGTAATGAAGCTGTCTATGTCTTTTATATATTTCCTGCTTTTACACTGGCTTTGTTTCGATAAGGTAGTCAGGTACCTCTCAGCCTGGCATTTTTGATATCTATATTAACCAGGTTACCAGAAGTAGCCGATTTTTATTAATTATTCTAGTATAAGCCAAGGTAGGTGGTAATAGGATGGGCTAAAGAGATAGGAGACGATAGTTACTATTAAGGTCAGACATGCTATGAAAACTTCGTTGGTAGGTATTCCAAAAGACCTACCGACGTGACATCAACCCACCGCCCTATACAGACATCTATCGGGGTAATCTAGGGTCTAGGAGTATTTCTTTTTATGTTCATATCATAAGCAAGTTCAAAAGAAGCAAAACCAAACGATAAATGCAGAGTTACGCAAGATATGCCCTGCTAACTGCTCTGATAGAACGACTCAGCTAGGTGATAAGATAATACCAAACGCTACCTAGGTACCTACTTACTTGCATATACATAGGAGGTAGAGTAGGAAGAGTTTGAAGTTCCTCTAGATTCGAGATATAGAGGAGCGCTCAAGACAAAAATACAACTGATATGTACCTAGTACGTAGTCGATAAGCCAATAAAGACATGTCTTGTTAGAAGCGGCCTGACCGGTCCTACTCAATGCAGGTTCCCGAGTGCATGTGCGTAATTTCATGGAAGCCGAAAGAAAGCAAGCAAACAGAAGAATATTTCTCAGAAAGATGGAGCAGTCGGCAATCTGGACATTGAAAAGAATTGGCTGTTCTGTGAGGAGATAAGGGATATACCAAAAGGACATATCCATAGTGGTTGGAGGAGTTGTTTTGATGGGAAGTGTAAGCTATGAGGGAGATAGAGGATTTGGTAGCGAGTTATATGATTGTAAAACAGTTCGATAGGGTATTAACTTTGACCCTAGCTAGGCGCTAAATTAGCTCTGCATAACCTGGCGATTGCCGCTGTGGAGCTGCGTAGGGGTATTACATACAAGGTACCTGGGTACTTACCTCAACTTACCTAGAAGATGCTTCGTTGCAACATAATCTCTACCTCTAAAACACTACAACAACATACCTGCTTACCGACTATGCATATCGTGTACGCGTGACAACTACATAGGTGTACCCAAGAAGCATGCCGTTCGGTTCCGTGCTACGCATTTACTATTGCACCAATATTATCAATGCAAAACCTCAGCTCTCGAGGAATGTGCCAAGCCGTAAGCTTCGATATTACCGCGACTATGAACCCAGGCGCAGGATACCCTACCTGATCAGATCTTGGACGGAGCATTCCTTGAACGCTATGTTTAACGGTCGCCGATCATCCCGCCTTGTTATCCGCTGTGCCCATCTCAGCCTTTTTTCACCTTCGAAATTCGCAAGATTTCGCAAGATATGGCATTGCAAGGAAGAGGCTGGATGTGCTCAGCTTGAATTATAGTCCCGGCACCTTTACTAACAACCAATCTAGGAGGCCTAAACAGAAAAAATGTACAATAAGAAAACAAATCCAGGGATATCAGTAGGTAGGTATGCACCGATACACAGGGAAGGAGAACCAATCATATTATAGGCCAGTCACACCACGGACAATATTCTAGAGTCAAGATCCCGGTATTGATAATCCCCTGACATCCCCCACAGATACATTATCTTGACGTGCATGCCTACCTATTCATGATCTCCTTGATTGCCAACAACACATGATGAGAGTATCTATAACTACACATTTCCTTGAAGGTTTAGATTAACCACAGAAACTAGATCGTAGAAGAAGGATTCGACATATCCTTCTCTTTCTACGATTACATGACTAGGTTAGCCCTGTCGTGTGAGTCCTGTTCCAGCTAAACTGAAGAGGGGTCCTCAAATATCGCAAAAAGCAATAATAGACGCCACAGGCTCTGATTATCGGGTTTCAAGCGATAGCTATTAACCTTCCGAGACCCTATGTCCTAGACTATCGATTCCCCCTTTATTCATTCGTGGGCATCAGTATTTCGGTCTCTTTTTCCCGGTTAGATATTCGAATGCGTGCCTACGAGTCCAAGACAGCTGAACTTTCTCGCATGACTTGGGACCTTTCGTCTCCCATTTTACCTCTATGTACCAGAATGGCTTGATCGCGGAATTACGTTTATGTATAGACGCGAGTGATCCTCTAGCTCACCTTTGCGTTTCGTGCCGGATACGCGTAACCGGGGCCGAGCTTCTAACGCTGCGTTTTACGAGTTCCCAATAATCCTCTACTTGTTACCTTTGCGGGACGTATCGTCACCGGAATCGAGCGAGCTACGTGAGGCTCTAACAGACCCATATTGGATCACTGAATAGATTCTATTCAACTGATATATTTTAGTATTAGACTTTACGTTACACCACTATAAGTTGAACATATTGATACGTGGACGAGCAGGCCATCTGCCCTACCCCCCGGTGCAATGTCTGGACGCAGTGCCTACGTCAGGAAAAAGATCACCGACACGAAGTCGGGTTTACGGTCTTCAGAAAACAGTCGCTATTCCGAAAGCGATGACATATCAGTCAATGATCCCGGCTTCCCGCAAGGTACCGGATATGGCATAACGAATGCGCGGTTCCTCAAGTTCTCCGAACCGTCAAGGGAAGCGGACCTAGTCAATTATCGCACCCGGATCGCGAACTTCGGTAACCCTAGTAGCGGAAGCCAGAGTGGTGCAAGTGAGTCAGGCAAGAAAGAGAGTGGTGGTAATAATGGTATGCCGCATCAGGGTCCGATGCCTGACTTCGCGTATGCTAGGACGAGGAAGCCGGTTTTAAGGACAGAGGACGTGTCGGGAATAGAACGCTCGGGATTCCGAAGCGCAGTAGACAAGAAGAGCGACGAGTTCCGTAAAAATCTCACCAAGGCCTTTACATTCGGAGCTAAGAAGAAGAAGGCTTTGGGAACTGCTAGGTCTGAGTCCTCTGCTGCCATGAGATCCTACAATGATTCCGAGTTTTTCGACGTTCACGAGCTTCCTTCGACGTCTATACAAAGTCCGCAGCAGTTAGTATGGGATCCGGAGTATCAGCAGATAGTCTCGCCGCCTCCGTCTGTCAAACTGCCCCCAGTCCCTCCCCCTTTTACTACCCCTCCAATTAAGCGTTGGATCGGCGCTGGGAGGCCTGTTCAACGATGGAACAAGCTCCGGAAAGACCCTGAATTATGGGATCCCAACGGTGATGTTTTAGTCTTCTTCGGTCGCAAAGGACAGAGCCCACGGCCAAACCCTTCTTTCCGCTTGTCGTCTCATATTATCGAAGCGACAGAATCTCGGTTCCTCATCACTCTTCTTCGCGAAGGATCCACGGAGGACGAGTATGACTTACGAATGCACGTGCCTCAATCACCTATCGGCGCTCCGCCGATGCTACGATCCCATGGCCCGCATCCGCAACTTGGCTACAACCTAGGCCGGAACGGTCAGCCCACACCCCCAGTATCCGAGGATACTAGCCTTACAGACGTTGACGGCCAAATATCCTACGAGATGTATTTCCCAACGCCACCGAATATAGGCAAGCTTGAAGCGCACCGGCAAGCTATAACAACGCGCAACGTATTTGCGCTTCTGTACCACGCATCCCTAGTTGGCTTGTCGCTTTCTCAAGCGTTGTCCGACTTACTAACACGTCTTACGGCTTATATGCCCCCTGAGGCAGATAATCTAGGCACTATTTTAAATTACCTATCCGCTCGCGGTATTGACGACTGTCGCAACGACCCAGAAACGGCCGTGTCCCTTCTCGCGTGGTCAGAAATGCCGGAGGTACGGTGGGAGGAGGGTTGGTGCGAGGCGTTCGTGCACTGTACCGGCATGTACTCCCGATTAGAAGCTTGCACAGATTTCAAAACCATCACACCTATCACGCGAGCTCTTCTGGAACGAGCTTGTCTTGAGACGCAGCTTCGCGTACAAGCTGCAGAAGAGCGTCTTGCTGAGTTTTCTTGCGGAGATATCTGGCCAACTACCGGTCCGGCTTCAAAGGGTGCTGCAAGAGACGCCGCCGAGCGCCTACGCCAATTCTTCATATCGCATTACTCAAAGATTCATGGCTATTGGCCTCCACCCGAAGCGGGCACGAGAACCGCGGAAGGCGACGAGACGTGGCTGAGCAGGACGTTAGCAAAGCAAATGCAAAAGGATTTTGGTGCACTTTACGACTACTTGGTTAACCGAGATATTGTATGGGACGAGTCAGAGACGCGCAGTAGTCGAAAATGGATGATGGTCTCCGAGAGCGGTAACAAGTCCTTTGACTCAGATACACCCGATCTGCCTCTCACAGATATGCTGATTGAATTCGACAACCGCATGCGATTTCCTCATATCCCGCACCCTTATCCGCTTGTCCCCGAGTCAATCCTACCAAACGTTCCAGCTTCGTCTGGCTCGAGTAGAGAAAGATTTAAAAAGGAGAAAAATAATAGTAACATAAAACAAACTTCTGACGACCGCATTGCCGAGAGGCGTGCGCAGTTGGCGTATACCGAGGCGACTAACATTTACATCCTAGGGTCTGACTTTACGCAATCTGACCTAATCGAAAGCTTCGTCAAGTTTGAGAAGGCGGACCAGGTCGGCAGCGTAAACCCCTTCGTCGCCCGCCGCGGCCGCTGGGTACTCATCTACGTGATCTTGCAAACCCTGGCCAGCGTATCAGTTGACGCGCCCAATGTCCGATACAAAGATAACGTGTCGTACCACCTCTCGCCACGCTTCAAAGGTACCAAAGCCCCGCCGTGGAAGGGCGCATCAGCCCCAGCGGCCGAGGCTTGCCACGATATTTCGCACTGCTGGCTCGCACCCCGGACGTGGCAGCAGAATAGCAGCGCTAGTGGCGGCGAAAGTGCCGACTCGGACACGTCCACTAACTCCAACGCGCACTCTAGCGATCCCGTATTACGTATGATGAGAGCACAAGCACAGTTGTTCCCGCAACCGCCTAGAACTGTGACCAGCCGTTCTAGTAACAGCGGGTATTACACGCCACGAAGCGTGCTTTCCCCAACCACTGTTGTACCTCTGACACCTACTACGACGTGGGGTGGTTCGGACGATGCTGCCTCGAGTATTGCCCGACCATCTTCGTCATCGGGGAACTATCAAGGATACAGGAGCTATACCGGTTCGCGTGGTGCCAGGAGCGAGCGCAGCTACGCGACATTCGGACCGGGCAGTGCCGGCTTAGGCGGTGGTAGGCTTGAGGATACCAGGCAGCCAAAGGGCATGAGTACTAGCATGGGGATACGCCGTACGAAGGCCCCAGCACCGCTGGACTTAAATCTAGACGTTACGAGAATGGATGGCTTCCTTGACCCTGGCCATAGCCCGTCAAGCGTAGGCGGCGCGCCCATCCTAAGTCCAAATAGTTCTGATGGACTCGGTCCGGTAATCCGCGATTTTGACGAACTTGAATCCGTTGCCGAGGAGGCCAGCTGAAGGGTTATATTTGTAATAATATAAGCGGAGATTTTCGGGATTGTGAGCGGGTTTTTGGGTACTCAGGTGTAAAGGGGTTGGATAGGGGAGGTATTCACTGATTAGGGATATCTAATGTGCGGGTAATGGGGATATGAGCAGAGGACAAAGAAGGATGTATGTATAATACCCAGCGAAAAGGTTTAGGACTATTTTAGTAGCGTATAGGTTAGGTGGTTTGGACTAGAATTGTCTTAGGTAGAATTACTATTTCTCTCTTGCAATAACTTTTGTAAATGTTCCACCCGGTCCCGACTAACTCGTCCCGCTGCAATCACTCCGCCACTATTATCGCCCCATTTCGCATCAATAACATCGGGTCGGGGTTGGTTGAACTTCTCGCAAGACACCCACTGCCTGCCTGCATCTTTAATCCAGCTCGTCTGCATAGCTAACGGGCCTTTCCCGATCAGACCAGCCCAACGCTCTCCGTCTCCAGACTGTGCTAAGCCCGCCTTCTCCAATGCTCCTATGGCTCCCGCCGCCCAGTTATGACAGTTGCCTTCGCCATAAAATGGTAGCTGAGTCTCGTCGGTGCCAAAATGGGCCAGTACTGAATTAGCGACGCTAGCTTCTTCGGCAGACAAGTCGGCGCGTATATCGCATCGCCCGCGAGGAGCCGGGTCAGCATCAAACTTCTGCTCTGGGCGCGACTCGTAGATGAAGCGTACTTGGTCCGGGCAGCGCGCGTGGTGTAGATGGCAAGTTATGGGCTGCGATACGCTACTGTGGACAGCGATGGCGACGTGTCCGCTAGAGTCTTCAGCAGCCTTCTCGCCACCCCAGAGGACGACAGATACGGTGTATCTATCCACCTGCTCACCGCGAATTGCTGCGAGCATGGTAAGGGCTGATATTTATTTATGATATCTTTGTTATTTTCTGGGAAAGTAAAAATAGGAAATAAATGGTCAGAGGATAAATAGCACTTGAGTAGAAATTGGATATATCTGAAGTAACTGTGTAATGTATATATGAGGTACCTAGGTAGCTAGGATTTAGGGCGGGCGTTTATGGGAACTGTATGTGTGATTCGTTACTGGGCGGGCGATCGCCAACTCGAGGTTAGTACAACGTGACATTCACATAATAGTAAGGAAGCCAAGAAATTCCAAGCAGATGAGTCAGGTAATGAGTTAGGTATTAAGGGGGCCCGTTATCGTCTTTCTTCCAGTTGCTGCTTTCCTAGCTCTTCGCTCTCCAACGATTTCTCCTTAATGAAGAGAGAAAGCAAAAATCCTACTCCGGCTGTCCCTGCAAGCGTCCAAAATACGGCAGAGATAGACATCCTATATGCCTCAATCACTTTATCCAATAAATCGGCTGGCATATTTAGATCCCTCAAAAGTGGTACGAGACCGACCGCCTCCCGTACATCATTAAAGATAGCCAGGTCACCCGGCAAGGGCCCGAGCAAGCTAATTTGAGACCCGAAAACGTTGTTGAATACGGTAGAGCATATGGCTAACCCGATAAGCCCGCCAAAGAGTCGGAAGGAGACCAGGATTCCGGCGGCGAGACCCATGTCATCTGCGTTGGGCAAGCTAGCCTGCAGGGGAAGGTTCAAAAGCGCAAACAGACTGCCCATCCCTATGGCGAGGGGGACCTGAAGGGAAGCTTTATCCGCAAGGGTGGAAGAACGGTCTAAGAGGCTGAAAATTCCCACGCCGACTGCGGTCAGGATCCAGCTAGTCCAGATAAGCAGCCGGTACTTGCGGATTATTTCCACTGCGATAGCTGAGAAGAGACCGAAGCCGGCGGAGATGCAGCAAAGCGGGAGGCAGATGACGGCAGATTGTAACGGACTATCCATATATACAGCCTGGAAGAACAACGGGGTATACATGACAACACTATAAGTAACCATGCCATGTAAGAAGGTTGTGAGGAGTGCCATAGACGCTGTTAGGCTTTTAAATATTCGATATGGAAAGACGGGCTCGATGGGCCGTGATTCGTACCATGCGAATATGACCAACACAACAGCGCCCAAGCACAACGGAATCAATGTCTTATAGGAGGACCACGGGAACATGGCACCAGCCCAGGCAACCGGCGATGCGAATAGCGTGCATCCGACGGTGAATAAAGCCATACCGCCCCAGTCAAGCCGGCGCATCTTCTCCTGCAATGTCAGATTGATAGGTTTGAGACTTAGGAAAAGCACCGCCAGGAGAAGACCTAGAGCTGATAGAGGAAGATTGATCCACCCAATCCACCGCCATGTTACGAATTGACTGAAGATACCTCCAAGGATGGGACCGAGAATTGTGCCTCCTAACATCGGAATAGACAGATATCCGATATATTTTGGACGTTCCTTCAGGGTCGTTATATCAGCGAGGATGATCTCGCACAGCACGTCCAAACCCCCGGCCCCAAATCCCTGAATAACACGTCCGGTAATCAAGACGCTCATGCTTCGTGATACCGCGAATATTATAGAGCCAACGATGAAGAAGAGGAAGGATGAATAAAGAGGCATCGCTCGACCGATAACATTTGATACGCTGGTATGTATTGGTTGGATGACGCATACCGCAAGCAAAAATGCTATGCTGGCCCAGAAAGCCTCCAATGTAGTTCCGTCAAGCTCGTGGGCTATGACCTAGACTATCATTAAGTATTCCAAGGCTAACCATGATCAGGAACAAATATCATACCGGTATCGCGACAGCAAGGATCGTAGCATCTATTGAAACAAGAAAGCACATAATGTTGATAGTTAGAAACGACATATGGAAGGCAAGCGGTTTCCTCCGCGAGCCATCATCTCGCACCAACGGCTCAGGAGTATTGACATTGTGGTTTGCATGTTCAAGATCGGAAGGCGAAGAGTTAGTGAGGAGCGGATTAGCGGCCGGAACCACTGACTTTTCTAGGTTCTCCATTCGACGACAATAGCAACAGCGTAGCAAAAACGGAGAGAATACTGCGCCAATTCGCTCTTGTCGTCGAGTGTTATAAGAATCAAGATATCGCCACCAACCCAGAAAACTACACCAAAGCGGCAATCGTGGACGCCGCGGAGCCCGTCGTATATAATTATGCATAGGTATATTACGTAAATTTACAATACAAGGAGACTTGATATAGGCTGCCGTTTAGCAGCAGTTTAGAAAACAATCGAGCGGAGTCATTATCCCAGCACTTCAGACTAGCACGGATCACGGTGTTGCATCCTGTCGTTTGGAAATATTCTTAACCAACCATATCCAGGTAAAGCAGCTCGAATAGGAAATATGCCGAGCCCTATTCCGACCCCATACTACGAAGTACGAGTGAGGCTATATTTTGTAACACTATAGTGATATTCTAACCTCTTGCTGGACTTCTATCAGCAAAAAGTAATCAGTTTAGGGCATTTGGTGGTCTGCTCGTAACAGCAATGACTCGCGTATAAAGTCCGTGAGCCAAGTTTAAGCATTTATGATAACTAGAGCGCTGATATAATTCCTGATATATTTCTGGAATTTTCAATAACTCTCTATATAAGATTACTTTGTCTTCGAAAATTTAATTGAAATTGTTATCAAAGACGGGATAATATTCCGTATAGTATAACTATTAACTACCCAGATAGAGATCTTATAGTAAAGAATTAGGGGGAAGCTCACAGGGCACGGACCAGTTTGCGACAATCTTGGAAACTTGGAATATACCGCCAAGTATCTATTTCTCGACCAGCCACCTCAGATCAAAAGGTTCCCAACCCCGCTACTTTTCCGTCGGTCTAGGATTGAGGAGTCTAAGTAGGTAGGCATGATATTTATTTCTAGCTGATAATGCACTTTTATATGTATATTAGGCATTCACTCCTTAGGTAATCTACGATTACAGATTGTTTACATGTGTAAGACAGTCTTCTAAGCTGTGTGTGCACTACATAGGTACCTACCTGTGTACCTAGATCTCACCGGTTGATCTGTCCCGACGTCATAAGCGTTTATAATCTCGTATAAAAAACCCCGCTATTCGGTTTACTCCTCCACCCTACCTGGACATATAACAAGAAATAGCGACAACGAGGTTATATATAGTAGGCACTTAACATAACTTCAGTTAAACGTTAGTTAGGTAGGTACCTACATTAGTTACCATAGTAATACAGCGTTTACATTAATTGGATGGACTACCTACGGCTTGTTATAGCGCGTCATTAAATCATCCGACTCGATTTCATCGTCTCCTGTCTTATTAATAGCATCGCAGTACATTACGGAATAGAGATTAGTAGATCTCCAATACCACCTCAACCGCGCTTCGTACCTGGTATTCGAGTCTGCAGACCCTTAGGTACCCTTAAAAAAGCCGCATAAGATCCCGAGACGGTGAAATTCCCAGCCCACAACTCTACCAGCCGCCTTGCTTTGCAGCTCTTGGCGTGCAGGCCAATTCCATCCCTTAGGTAAACTCGAGCTTCAGCTTGCAGTTGTCTTGACTTATTTCTTTAACTTGTTTTTTTTCGCCTTTTTCCGTTCTTACCTCGCATACCTTCTCTCACCATCGTCTTTTCGCCTTCCCGTCGCATTCTTCTTAGTCGCAAGCCTCCTACTTGCGCGCGCGCCTAACTGTTTTCCCGTTATATTCAGATCGCACGCGCTTGAAGAACCGGCAAAATGTTGTTTGCCATCTTCTTCGCCTTTTGGCGATTCATGCAGATCATTACACTAGTAAGTACTTCACTTCTCTTTCCCTCGACCCTCGAGAGAAGAATGCTGGTATCGGCGCTAACGATAACTCCCTCGAAAGATCCCGACGATGGGCATGTTGGCATATTTCGTCAACGGCTACGTGCAGCTGAATCAGCTCACTCCCAACTACATCCTAGTACTCTTTATCGTGTCGGTACTAGCTTTGGCATGGTCTATCTACACGCTGTTCAGCTACCACCGCTCGTCCGCCAACGCGACCTTTGTCGCCGTCTTCGATCTTCTGTTTGTAGGCGCTTTTATCGGAGCGGTGTGGACGTTGCGCATGATTGCCACCGCCGACTGCACGCATATTACGCGCGGTGACCCTTACGACGTCAGCTTCGGTCCCTTCGGCAGTGCCTCCGTTACCAACTGGGACACTGATGTTGACAAGACGTGCGCTATGCTCAAGGCCTCCTTTGCGTTCGGCATCATGAATTGCGTCTTCTTCTTCATCACTAGCATTCTCGCCTGTCTGCACGGCGATCGCACAGGCAACGCTGACCGCACATCGTACTACCGCGAGACGCACACTCACCGCCACGGTCACCGTAGCAGTCGCAGTCCTCATAGCAGACACAGCACACACTCACACCGCCGCACCTATGTGTAAGGGGGTGGGGCTGGTTGTTATATACCTAGCGCGTATAGAGAAGTGTTTGTACGAATGAGAATGACGAGATTCGGGAATGCGGATCCGTAGAGAGGAATCGGTATTTTCTCGCCATGGCCAGATATTCGGAACGACTGATTTGATTTAATGTGGTTTTGTGGTTTGAATGAGTTGCTATAGGGAATATATCCAATCCGAGACGACATAACACTTGAGATGAGTATTCGATGGGAGCAGACGCGGTCGCATATACCTATTACGATTCTCAATGATGATGAGTTTGACGATAATGACTAATTTCGCTTCTACGACGCCAGAGTATGTACGCTAGGTATCCAAACGCTTCATGAGTCATGATGGCTGGTTGTTTATTAGGTTAATATACGTCGATACGCCGTTCATCCGTTATTGACATAATGAGAAATGAAGCAGAACAGAATGTCTTGTAATCGTCTAGATTGCCACAGGCGAGTGGTGAAACAGAGCACAAGTGAAATGTTAGTATTAGGATTTCTCGTAATATGATCCCTATTTGTTGATACGTTTTAGCAGATCATGCTATTTTTATATAAGCGCATATGAATTGACCTAGACATAGGTTGCAATTAGTTAAATTTCGTATCCAACGTTGCAAGACTAATAGGTCCCAACCCGACTCTGCAAGTTGCACACTTTATAGACTGAGAGGTATGCACATTACGGATGCTAGAAGTCATAGGTATATCATTCTCAGGGTGTGACATGCTCCTGTTGCCTAGGTGCCTAGGTAAATCCCACAATTTCTATGAGCTCTTGAGCGTTCGCCGCATTGAACATCCGTATCGTATGCTCGATAATAGCGTGCATGTATTAGGTACCCAATACAGCAGCCTACGATTGGCGTGATGTGATAATAGACGTCAATGGAGACGCGTAGTGTAGCCTTTTGGTTCCGAGGGATAGAATATCCGCCGGCCCCTGACTCTGAATTGACGGCCTTGGATGGGAGATAGTTGCCCGGACCTTCCTGCCGGTCCTTATACTATTATGAGAACTCGCTGTCCCAGGACGTTGCTTTATTCTCACAGAGGAACCGAAATATCATTTGTTATCGCTGTGGCCTCACTTACCATTAGCAAAGTAAGTCATTTCACGCCCGTAACTGGTCCTGGCCCACAGTATATCCCCTTGCGACTCCGCTCCGTCCCTCCTCAATGACGGTGCTCTCCTCCTCGTCATCGTTCTCAATATTGAAGTCCGTACCTAAACCCTGCCAGGTTCTCTGCGACCTTAAGAATTCTGCTCCTGGGCTCGCAACGCCGTTTACTAAGGCTACATCACCGACCGCTCGCTTGATGATTGCCGAGCTCGTAGTTCCCTGGTTAGAGCTTAGACCGGCGACCTCAATTTCAGGCCCGCTTCGTGGTGCGCTTCGGATAGCAACCCTCATAGGCCGGCCATGGCTAACAAGTTTACCAGTACGGAGATCGAACTCGGGAGGTTCTGACTCTTCGTCGTCGACGCCTCCTTCAACTTCTTCAGGGACTGACTTGGCCACATCTTCTTGTATGGGCAACTTCTCGTCGTTCCCGTCGGTAACCGGGGAAGATCTGACACCTTCGATGCCACCCCACCACTCGCCTGTCCAAACCCTGCTTTCGTCGCCCTGTAGCGCAAGACCAAGCTCGAAGGGTGTGATAACGGGCTTCCAAAGGCCTTCTTGCTCGACTAACCCGCTCTCCCAACAACCAACGACAACCCAGCCGTCTACCTCGGCGAAATTAGCCAGCTTTGCGGCGTTCAGCTTTCCGACGACAATGGTATAGCTCTTCTTGCCGGCGGCCGCAATTTGACTTTTGAGCGTAGAAATGGTAGACATATAGTTCTTTACGGAGAGCGTGTTGACTAGAATTCCAATGATGGATGCCGTGGCAAATCGGATGACTAAAGCGTAACGGCGGCGGAGTAAACCAGGAGTGGCGCTGGGGTCGGGAGGTGCAGATGTCGTAGTATAAGGTGATGAGGGTGTAGAATATATCCTTAAAGAGGCGAGGCGAGAGGATAGAGTTAAGAGGAGGGAGGTAGGAGGGGTTGAAATATGAAATAGATGGTACTCGTTCAAATTAATAGATGTATCCGGGGTTATAAGTTTGCGATTTGGTATTGCTCCGGTCGGATCTCGCAATATTTCTGTCGCGATGAGGCTGGAATACCCCCTTTCCTTTAAGAGATTACTTATAGGACCAATATGCTCTTGAAACATGACATCGGCCATTAGCACTACCTTATCGGCCTTCTCCGGGAACTCTTTCTCGAACGCCTCAGTTATGTCGTCGTAGTTTAGCGTCTGCTTCGTGAATATGTGTATTACGGGTAGCCTTGAAGTTGGACTTAGGCATGCGCGACCATAATGTACCACTCCATCAGCATTCGCATGTTCCGCTGCGATCTCATCGACGCAACAGGCACTATACGACGTATCCGCCAAGATATATAAACGCTGGCTCTGATCTTGTACCTCGGTTTGACCTTTTCCTAATTCTACGCTTAACGCGCTGACAACCCAAGGCGCATCCGGTAACATAGCATCAGGGAACTGAAGGGCGATTCGTTTCCAGCCATTCTGTTGAATATCGACGGCCGTCCGGGCGATCTCGTAAACTTCGTACAGTTCATGGTCAGGTCTATGAGGGCGCTTCGCTTGAGAGATCGCAGAAGACGGTGTCGGATCTTGGATAAATGTATGTTCTGCCGGTGTCGAAAGGATGGGAGGCGCACTTAGTTCAGATGACATGGCGAGAAGAAAAGGGGGGGAGGGGGGAACTTGTAGATTATCTGAGCAAGAGTTCAAGTATGAAATTTTTATTTTAGTTAACCGTTATGTATTTTCTTTTCTTTTGTCTTGGAGGGGTAGCAGGGTAGGAGGGGTCAACTTCTATTACTATGGTACCAGGCCAAAGTAAAACCACCCCCAAAAGTACCACCGAAAAGGGTTAGATGTGGCTATCATCCAGAATTGGTATCAGCTTTTTAGCATTTCTAGTACCGCATTGGCCACCTTTTAGTGCGCGACTTATGGCTGTGGTTTTACTTACCCTTGAGACCATAGTATACAGCGGGGACAGCGGGTAGTTTTACTGTACCTAAGGTACATATGCATGCATTAGCGTCGTATTAGTGGATGCATGGGATGCATGTGTGTACCTAGGTACCTATGTACATACGTACCAGTTAACTGTGACCGATCAGCATAAACCTATTACATAGGAGATCTATTAGGAGACATATTAGGAGACATATGAAGGTACCTCTTAGCAACAGGTATTCAAAAGAGATCGCCTCCCGTCATATCCTTGCTAGGCGCAGACCATCTTCATATGTATATGATATTATCTATCTTATGGGTCTCTCTCTATAGCATGCCTCGTGAAATCGTCTCTGCATTCCAACCAGACTACCCCTTCGAGTATCTAATTCAAAGCTTTACCTGGCCGGCATTCAACCGATTCCAGTCACTGTTGCTGAATTTTACGTACGTTCCATCTTTGAGCCAGAATATCTCGTCGTCGCCAACTAGGGTTGGGTTAACACCTTGCTCACGTAGTCCGTGTTTCTGCTGCTTATTCGTGCCCGTAACCGCCGCTGTAAGCCCCTTTCCTATTCTCAAGAAGATCGGCACGGCATACTTGGGTAGTTTGCCACGCGCGTGCTCCGCCAACGACCGTAGTAACGCGTCATCAAGCACTTCCTGAGTTAACGTGAGCGCGGCACATCCAGCCCTCCCGTCGTGATTCGGTAGTTGCACGCCGTACACGTTGGCCTCCTGTACCGCCGGGTGCGTACTCAATGCCTCGCTCACTTCCGTCGTCGCCACATTCTCGCTCTTCCACCGGAAAGTGTCGCCGATTCTGTCGTGGAAGAACATACGACCCTCGCTGTCTAAGCTCACAAGATCACCTGTCCTAAAATATCCGTCGCCCTTCTTAAACACATTCCGAAGAATCTTTTTCTCCGTCGCCTCGTGGTTATTATAATATCCTTGGAAATCTCTTTGTGTGTCGGCTGGCAGTGTCATCAGTAGTTCGCCGATTTCGCCGGGGTTCACATGTCGGCAGAGACCGGTCTTGGGATCGCGCCAAGGACTATCTGTGTCGATATCTTGCCGTACGATCGCAGATGTAAGTTTGGCAATCTGCCGGTAGAGGATCCCAAAACGCCCGATGGCTCCTGTCGCGAAATCGTTGCGGGAAAGGTTCCACGTCGCTAGATTGCCCTCCGTAGACCCGTAGAACTCGGCAATGCTTTCGATATTGAACCGCTCTCTGAACTTCTCCCAGATATCTGGACGTAGGCCGTTGCCGAACGCTATACGGACATTGTGCTTCTTATCCATGTTCTCGCCTGTGGTCGGATCGATCTGTGGCCGTGCTGCGAGCAAGTAACGACATGTTTCCCCCACGTATTGAATCATGGTTGCATCGTGTTGGCGCACTTCATTCCAAAACACCTTGGTCGAAAATTTCTTACCGATCGCAAAAGTACAGCCGCTTTCCAAGCACTGGCTCATACCCATAATGGTAGCCGAGCCGTGATAAAGGGGCATACACTAGAATGGATTAGATTATTACATTGTGGGAATATTAGCAGATCAATCATACCGTATAGAATACGTCGGATATTTTCGTCCCCAAGAAGCCACTGACGAAAGATCCTGCCAAGGTCATCTTTTTCCATGACACGATGGCGGCTTTCGGTAGGCCCGTGGTACCAGAAGTATAAATCAGAATAGCCATATCCCTAGACACTTCTCCAGAACGGAGAGAGTCGGACGGTCGTATTGGCTCGGTAGCAAGGACTTCAGCCTTTGCCTCCTCTGTTAAGAACTCGATTCGCAGATCACCTAGCTTCTCACGGACGCTGTCATCGACATTCGTCGCAACTTCTGGATCAACCAACATGAGGACAGAATTCGCCGTACTGACGCAGTGTACCAATGGTTGACCGGTTAAGTTGTAGTTGATGTACGCCGGCTTCGCGCCGATAGACCACAAGCCGAAGCAGATGAATATAAAGTGGTCCGAGTTTTGAAGATCGACGGCGACGATATCCTTAGATTTGATACCAAACTTATTCTTGAACCAGTTCCCGTACTTCAGCGCCATCTCGTATACCTCGGCGTAGGTCCATGACTTATCCTGGAAGCGGATAAACAGCCGGTTACTAGTCGACTTGTTTTTTGCGGCTTCTTCTAGAGTGTAAAATGTACTGCAGCGATCCTTTCGTTCCCGGTTGATGACGCGAAAGATGGCCGGCAGAGTGCCGCGTAGCATAGCTCTGTCATACCAAAGTCCCGTCTTAGCATTGAGATATGCAAGCCCCGCCGCTGCCACCGGCAGGGAAAGCGCTAAAGAAGCTAGAAGGAAGATTAGTACTGAGAAAAAAGCAGAATCGGAGAACTGTGTAAGCCAATTTTTGTGTTTAATAGGTACCTACATAACTCTGCCATTTTAGAGACTGCGTTTGTGTTTGGGACTTAGGTACTCGGCATATTCCAGCTTCGGCAAATTAGGAGGTAGCTTATTATGTTCAAGGTTGCTTCCTAGAGATATATATGTCTAGAATTTGGTAACTAGGCTAAAGAAGCAAAACGCATCGTACCTTACAAGAATTTTAGCCACTTAGCAATTAAAAATAAGAAAAATGAAGTATTGGCAAGACTGTGAATATTACATAGGATAGCAACGAAGAAAAAAAAACCACCCGCGACATATACATGAAACGGAAGAGAAAAAAGGTAACTTAGTACAGTTAGGGAAGCAAAGTAAATAAATAAAACGGCACGTAAGGCATGGCGAGGACTAGGAGGTATCAGCTTAACCTACCATTAGGTTAGGTAGTTTACCAATATCATCCATACCTCGGTGGGCCGAGGTGGTTCGTTTTGAGAAGCCTCCCGCAGACTAATGATCCCTGATTCGCATTATATCACCGCCTTTCGGATACCCGACATGGGGTGCGATCTCGGGAGTACAAGCGAGCTAATATTCGTGTCCAGCTTACGTATTTTCTATTCCTTCGAATATATACCTACCTACATATGCGCTCCAATCCGTTCGTTTTACACAGTCACTTATGCTCTGGAAGTGCGTAAGAAGTTGTGTCATGCACATTGGCTGATCCGTGAGCTGCAAGCTACCCCTCGTAACTCGCGAACCTCGGCTTGCAACGTGGACACGTTGGATGCTGGACAGGGCGTGCTTGGCCGAGGCTACAGAGCAAATTCCAAGAATCAAGGACTTGCATCTCATGAACTTTTTAGAATAGAACGGTCTAGATTAGGTACCTCCTATGCGTGTACGAACGAAGCATGATAATGCATCAGGCTTGGGATTGGAAGCGCTAAGCGACCTTCGATCAGGTTTAGATCAGTAACTTTAGATGGACGACCCATCCACTTTTAACACTACCACCAACCACATATAGAATTTACACGATTTACATTTTAAAGAAATATATTCAATATTAATATCATTACAAAGGCTTAATTGAAGCGAAACCAGAAATGTAATTTTTATATTTTAAATTATTAAAATACGTTAGGAATAAAGGTATTTTTTTAAATTAAAAGTGTATGTATGTGGCCTTGGGGGATATTATGTAATATCTTTGTATGTGGCCTTGGGAGGGGGGGAGGGGTATCACGTGATACCTTTTTGAGCTCTTTGGTATAGTGTATACTCGAATAACTTTCAAAATAATGCGTGCACTTAGCTAAGAGTTATATCATTAGAAGGCTCTAATTGAGGCGAAACCAGTGATATATTTTTTATATTATGCATCCTTCAATTGACTGGAGAGTAAATGTAAATATAGAAGAATTTATGGTTAGAAAGTGTGTGGCTTTATAGAAGAATTTGTGGTTAGAGAGTGTGTGGCTTATAAATTCTGTATGTGGTTGGTGGTGCGACTAAACCCAATACAAATTAGTATGTGTGTGTGTCGGTGGCTTAACTAGTGTGGAAAGTGGATGGGTCGTCCAACTATTAAATTTGGGTCGTCCATCTAAAGTTACTGGGTTTAGATGATTAGATCACAATCTAAGATAAGTCGAGACAAGGTTATTACGACTCGCTTACTAGCATATTGATTGATAATACCAGAATACTTGATTAGAACATAGTAATTGTTTTATCCATATATTTACATCTTTTAGGTTATTGAAGCTACGCTTAATCGCATAGAGAAGACCGCGCAGGTGGAACCTAGTAGTTGAATATTCAATGAGGAAAGCAGCACCTAGTTATTCGTACCTTAGGTACATTTGGAACTTGTCATTTTGCGACACGTTGGCACCTTTGATCCAGCACCAACGACGCAATTAAATCCCAAAGCCATGATTTCGAAAACATAAGCCCGTTGATATAAGTAGCCATGTCGTCGTCTGTTTCCGCAACCCGACACGATGGCATCTCATCCGAAACTAAACCGGCTGCGGCGATTGATAGCGGTAGTCCCAAGACAAACCACGGCGCAAACCCGCCGTTGACGCGAAAACAGCCGCCGCCGGAGAAGCCAGAAGATATTCATAGACGGTCCTACATCGTCGCATCTTTCTGGTTTATTGTACTATTCTTTGGGCTGCCAATATGGTGGAAGACGACAACGATATATCGAGCAGATTTACCCCTAGGCCAGATGATGGATTGGGCCGACGGCAGGGTTAGGATGACCTTCATAAATATCTAATAGACATGTTGCTAACTAACTTATCTCTACTATAAGGCCTGCAATCCAGTATTCCCGATTAAAATTGCAATCGATGCGCCGACCTTACAAAAAGATGAGACCGATAATCTCGTTCGCATTACACAGCAAGCCCTAGACTCTACCAACGACTTTAAAGGACACCATATACAGCTCGAAGTATCTTCACCAGCTAGTACACGTATAATCCACGATTCGGATACTGCTCTCACAGTACGACTAAGTCCTGGCGACGCCGCTACATCCTCCCTCCATTCTCAAGCGCCCATCCTCGAAATCACCTATCCTCCAAACTCGATACCAGCACCCGATGCTGCTTCTTCCGGCTTTGCGACATATTTGGCAACGCAGCTTCGATTAGCCTTCTCTGAAGAGCGGGAGGTTATGTCATATCTCTTAGCAAAGTCTTCCATACCCTTCGAACAACGGCCTTTGGAAGCTTCCCAAGGCTCAGCCGACTCTTTAGCGAAGCGAATGACGAGATCCCTAAAATACTCTCGGACGTACCATCTCACATTCTCGTTATTCACAAGCGGACCATCCCCGAGTAGTTGGGATATCGAGTCTGCCATAGACGAATACATGAAACCGATATTGGATTTGCTCGGTCCTATCCACAACTTTACCATCGACACCCAAGTTCAGCTATACGCCGCTCCCGGTGTGCAATCGCAAGTACTAAGCAAAGAAGATCTGTCTTCTTTCATCAATGCTGCCGAATGGCCGCTGTCGCCCTCTATAGGAGGTGCTCCAACGGTCAATTTCATCGTATTCATCGGTAATCAAACCATCGGCACCGCCTCCGAGGTCGGTACTTCTCAATCTTGGCTTATACCGCAATGGGGCTCTGTATATCTCTTACCACCCCCTTCCACAAATCATGTGTCTTCAGAAATATTGAAACAACCTATTCTAACATTCGCCTCACATCTCCTTTCGCTCCTCGGCACACCGCAGTCGGGATCCTTGCCCATGAGACTGTCCACGCTCACGCGCATCCGATCAGCAGACTTGCTCTTGCGTGCCTCCTCTTCTCTAGGGTCGCTGGCTCGTCTCTCATTGGCTCTGCCGAGCATATCTATCCCGTCTAATGTCGCCGACGGCGTGGCTAAGTCCATGTATCACCTACAACTCGCATGTTCTAACCTTGGTGGGACTGACGGCCTTGAACACGCCCGCATTGCTGACGTAGAGGCCGAACGTGCTTTTTTCGAGAAAAGCATGGTAGGACAGCTTTACTTCCCCGATGAGCACAAGATTGCTGTTTACCTACCACTTCTAGGCCCTATAGGGGTGCCTCTGGTTATTGGCCTATTGAACCAGATCAAGGCCTGGAAGAAGGCGAGGGCGGAGAAAGCGAAGAAAACATGAACGATTATCATGACGAGAAATAAGTAATACGGAATAAAACCAGGCATAGAAACGCTCCGGTACATTAAAGTATTATAAACGTATTGTCACTTTATCGGTGAATCTCGGTGTTTAGTAGCCCAGCATATGGAGTGAGCACCAAGCAGAAGCAGGCTCATGATCAGAAAGAAGCATACTCATGATGAGCAGATCGATGCTTAGTCCATCAATCTTCTCACGAGCATTGCTATCCCCAGGGATAATAGCATCTAGGCCAAACAGGTACCTAATGTCGGAAGGTATTGACCTAACTCGAGACACTACATAGCATATGGGTTACACAGCATATAGCCCATAATAATTAATAGCTCCGATAGGACGTTACGTGTACGGAGTTTACACTATATTCGATAGCGTCTAATCAGAGTAATACATAATATAATTTGCGGCGTTGACGCATATTCCCGATCTGACGATCTACCCTTACCCACTGTTCACAAAGCAGTGGATTGTAAATGCATGGTAGTTACACATTTAGATCGGATCTATTAGCCCGAGCTTACAATGTAGAACTGCATCATATAGAAGATAGGTAATGAGAGACGATGATAGGATGTTGCTAACCCAGTATACCTAGGTATGTACCTACGTACAATATGTATTGTAATTGTAAGGAACTTTACATGATCTAGTGGGGTCAAAGTTGGCTCTACATTAGGCCTTTAAAGGTACATTTGTACTAATCGTTGCACTATTGACAGGTACGCGTAACCTTCCATTTCCATATAGGTAGGTACCTATGTACTGAAATCTATTGGTACCTACGTTTAAAGCTATTAGACTTAACCTCATATCATTCCTAATAATACTTTAATAAGTGAGACTAAAAACAATATCCACCTACCTAGAAGAACCGAGCCACACGTATTCCGCAATGAATTTGCCAATACCTAACCTCTCCGAAGTGGTAACCGTTATTCCGTTGCCGCTCTCAGCGATTCTGTCATGGACATCTTGGAAACGGCTTATCGTCCCTGGCGTCCTCATATACGTAGGGTTATGCAGAGCGTTACGCTACCGCCGCGAGCATGCTCTACGTCGAAAGCTTGGATATACCGACCGCTCCTCGTTCTCACGCATGACGGCTGTTGAAGCCCAGCAGGTCGTCAAATTCATGGCTACGTGGGAGATGCCACTGATGCACTTTATAGCTTTAGAGTTTGGGCTCTTCAAGGTGGGTTAGGTGATTTCAGTTAGGAATCTATAACGGCAACTAAGACGAGATGAGACGTCTCGCTTTTGGTCCGTTCTTCCATTTTTGGTGATATTTTGCTGACGCTAGCACGGTGGTTTTCTAGACGTATGGTATCGAAAGCATAAGTCGTTTACTTCTTGGCACGAGAAACTTGACAGATCCAGTTATGAGCCTCAAGAGGTAAGAATTATTTGATATTCCTATATGAGAGTGGACTCGACACGACGATTGGGTATATGCCTGTCAGACTTGAGTACACTGTACAACTCTATAGCAGAAAGGGGCATAGACTATCCATCTAGAATGGCAAGCTGCTGAACAGTAACCTGCAGGTTCGAGGATACGGCAGCTTTAATCGGCGAGTTCATGCTAAACCCGCCAACATCGGAGCGAGCTATGAAAGGCTTAGCCCGGATGAATTTCCTTCATAGCAAGTACGTCAAGGAGGGAACCATCTCCAACAAAGATCTGCTGTACACGCTATCTGTGTTCATATTAGAACCGCCACGCTTCGCACGCCTGTACGAGTGGCGCCCTATGAACGATATGGAATATTGTGCGTACGGCGTCTTTTGGAAGTCGGTGGGCGACGCCATGGGTATCGAGTATAAGGGTCTCTTGGCACATGCTGAGTCGGGATGGCGTGACGGCATCGA